GGAACTTATAATCCTTTTGGAACTTATAGCCTTCTTAGGGAGACAAACATTAATTAAATAATTTTAAAGATAGAGCATTGAATTGGTGGTAAGTGCTATGGGGTAGAGATATGTGATCTCATGGGAGTGTGTGGTAGTGGTTTGCACCCTGATGTTTCTGCAAACTGAGATTGATCTGAGATCTAAAGAGTGAATTAGCCAAAGAACTGTAGAGAAGTGTTACGTCCAGGCAGAGTATACAGTATGAGCAAAGGCCCTGAAGTGGGAGGGAGCATGATACAAACAAACAACTGAAAAAGAAGGCCAAAGTAGTGAGAGACAGAGAGTGTGTGCTGTAAGATAAGGCCAGAGAGGTGGGTAGCATATTAAAATATTATTGCTGTTTTTATCCTCAGATCAATGGAAAGCCATTTCTGGCTACAACGTAGAGAATAAATTGGAGGGTGGAGGTAATTGGCAGTGGGCATGGGCAGTCTTATTGTATTAGATTACAGCGGTCCCAACCTTTTTGGCACCAGGGACTGGTTTCATGGAAGATGATTTTTCCATGGACCAGGGATGGTTTTGGGATGATTCAAACACGTTGCATTTATTGTGCAGTCAAACCCCTCTGCTAATGATAATCTGTATTTGCAGCCACTCCCCAGCGCTAGCATCACTGCCTCAGCTCCACCTCGGATCATCAGGCATTAGATTTTCATAAGAAGTACACAACCTAGATTCCTTGCGTGCACGGTTTACAGTAGGGTTCGAGCTCCTATGAGAATCTAATGCCGCTGCTGATCTGACAGGAGGTGGAGCTTCTGCGGTGATGCGAGTGATGGGGAGCTGCCGTAAACACAGATGAAGATTCGCTTGTGCGGCTTACCTGCTGTGCTTGGCCTGGGAGCTGGGGACCACAGTATTAGAACAACTTCATAACAAACCCAAAATCTTAGTGGTTTAACACAGTGAAGATTTGTCTCTATCATGCAGAGTCCAGCGGGGTTGAGTATCCATCATGAAATATGTCCACCAAAGTCATCTTGGCAGGGGAAGACAGCTTAAGATCACTTTTATTTTTTAATTTAATTTTTTATATTTTAAAAACCATTTTATTGAGGTATAATGCACATATAAAAAGCTGTACATATTTAATATATTTAGAGATCACTTTTAAAGGGCCAGAACTGAGAGTGGTTTACATCACTATGCCCACCTTGGCTGCGCAGAAGTCAGACATATGGCCAGCCCCAACTGAACTTGCAAGGAAGGCTGGAGAATGCAGTCTTCCTGTTTGCCTAGGAAGAGAAAACAATATGGTGTACACATAACCTAATCTCCCCGCTCCTCAACTACTTGGGAGGTTATTGTAGCAGTCCAGGTAAAAGGCTGGTCTTGGACTGGGAGGGTGGCATGAGGTGAGTGTCTTGGAGAAAGATGGAAGTCCAAAGAGCTAAGTAAGGTGAGGGAGGAGGAGTTAAGAATGTTGTTTAGATTTGGGGCTTATGTGAGTAGGAGGATGGCGATAGGTACTGAGCAGGGAAGACTAGTTAGAAGGAGACCAGCTTGTTTTTGATTTTGGACATGCTGAGCATCAGATGCCTTCAAGATAATCCAGATGGAGATGGTAGATAAGAAATTGGGTATAAAGGCTGAGAGCTCCAAAGAGCAGAAGTCTGAACAACATGTGAGTCATTTTTCTTAGATGATTGAAAGCTTGAGCTTGGATAAAATTTTCTAGGGAGAATGCAGAGTCCTTCCACCTACCCTGACATCAGTGTCTGCTTTCTGTCACATTGCCTGCCCAACCACCTCCCCCTCTAACCCCCTCCCCCAGCTCAGCTGAACCTTAAGAAATCTTGAGAGCCCTTTTTGTTGTCCTTAGGTGGTTCCCTTTGGAACTCCCCACAATAGCTATTCTGAATCTTTGCCTAGTGTGCCCTCAAACCCTGGCCCTATTCCTCCTGGCTTATACTTCACAGAGAAAATAGAGCCTTTCAGGCATAATTGTTGGTAGTATATCTTCCTTACTCCTCCACACTGTTTTTGCCTTCCCCTCTTCCTGATTTTAGAGAAGAAAATGTATATCTTTTTCTTAGACTAACTCTCCCATCTGTGACCTGGATCTCATCAGTCTTTTTAGATCTCTGACTTTGTTAATTGTAAGAATGGTTAAGAGTATCCTCTGGAGCCAGATCGCCCAAATTCAAATCTTAGTTCTGTCATTTCCTGTGTAACCCTGGACAAATTACCTAACTTTTCTATGCCTCAATTCCCCCATCTGTAAGATACCAATCATAATAGAAGCTACCTCATAGAATTGCTGTGATTTAGAAGTGTCTGGCAATAGTAAGTACTCAATATTCGTTAGGTTTTAGGTTTTCTGTTTGTTTTTGAATGTTTTGGTTCTCCTTTTGTTCCTTCAAGCTCTTAAACTTCTAGTATGGTCACACACATCTCCCTAGTCAAAAGACAACGTTCATGAAATTAGCATTCAATCTTCCCTTCACCATTAACCACCTTGTGTTTTCCGTGTTTACCTCTTCAATTCCTCTGGGCCCTGAGCCCATTTCCCTGGACTTACACCCTGTTCTTCCAGTCTACTGAAATGCTCACAGGCCCACTTGCCAAGCCCAGTGGTCTCTTCTCAGTCATTCTCAAATACCTCCCTCCTCAAAATACTCTCCCTTGGCTTCTTAGATGCTGTTTCTCCCTTCTTTCTTTTTCTTCTTAGCTTCTGATCATTTCTTCTTAGTCTTCTTGATTGGTTTTCTTTTGCTGCTTAATGTTGTTGCCGCCATGGTGAGGGCTAGTCCAAAATATGTATTAGGTGAAGTCATCCTATGAGATCCATGCTTATGTTTCCATCTGCCAACTGATCATATCTTCACCTAGATGTCTTGCACAATCTTCAGAGTTAATGTGTCATACTGTGCCATATTCCCATTTCCGTTCATACATTACAGTCTAGTTACCAGTCTAGTAACTACCTGGGTCTTCTTTGATACCAGTCGTTCATGTCTCATTCAGCTATATTCGTTTGACTTTGACATGTCCTCACATTTTTTTGTTTTCAGCCTCGCTGCTGTAGTTCAGAGATTTCTCCTCTGGATGTTTGTAATTGTCTCAAAAATTCACGTTCTGCTTTCAATCTCTGTGCCAATTCCTCCTTCACAGTCTTCGGTGTTAATTTTCTCAAGCACAAATGTCTAACGGTATTCCTGATATGAGAAGCCTCCATAGACCTTATTTCTGGTAGAAAAAAGCCCAAACTCCTCCTTAATGAGACTTTTAAGGTAAATTATAGCCAAACTTAGCTGACATTTAGCTGCATTATGATTGCAGATACACATTTACTTTCTGTTTTCAGTTAGTAGTACATGATTAATTTCCAAATTGGAATTTAGAATGTTGTTTGAGATACTTAGATACTGACAGATATATTCAGATTTTGGTTGGCTACATATAAAGCTTCAAATGTTGCCTTCTTTTAAAAATTGTTGGGTCAAATGTGACTTATAAATCAACATTATGGACTAGGGAGTTAGAGGAATGGAGATCTGTTTTTAATTCTTTATTAACTTTAAGAACCTATTGATCATTTGATGGACATTAGAGTTGTTTCTACTTTTGGTCTATTATGAATAATGCTGCTGTGAACATTTGTGTACAGGTGTTGTGTGGATACGTTTTCATTCCTTTTGTGTGTATACCTAGGAGTGGAATTCCTAGGTCCTGTTAACTCCATGTTTAACCTTTCCAGGAACTGCCAAACTTTGCCAAAGCAGCTGCACTGTTTTATAATTCTACAGTAGTATATGAGGATACCAGATTTTCCACAGCTTCGACATTTGCTACTGTCCATTTCTTTTATTTTAGCCATCCTAGTGGGTGTAAAGTGGCATTTCATAGTTTTGATTTTGCATTTCCCTAATGGTTATTGATGTTGAGCATTTTTCCCATGTGCCTGTTGGCCATTTGCATGTCTTCTTCTAGAAATGTCTATTCAAATCCTTTAGCCATTTTTTAATTGGGTTGTCTTTTTTATTGTTGTAAGAGTTCTTTATATAGTCTCAATACAAGTTTCTTATAGGATTTGCAAATATTTTCTCCTGTGGACTTATCTTTTATATGCATTTTTATTTCTTAAATTATTTGACATTAATTTTGGGTATCATTAATATTTTGCATGGTTTAGTATTCTAATTCTTGCTTTAGAAAAGCTAACATGCAAAGTAGTTAATGAAGCATAAAAAAATTATGGATGTAGTAATGTTAATAACACATTCCTTAAGATGAAAAGATTAAAGGTTGCTTTAAGATCTTGTTCCATCAGGATGTTATTTAACTGTTCTTCATCCCAGAATAACAAATATAACACGATAAAAGGTTAAATTATCCTCTTTGTTATAGCCGTGATTATTTTCTTATTTATTCTAATCTTAATTTAAAACTTGCAGATTTTAGAAACAATTTTAATGGCAAGTGACTAATAATGTTATTAAATATTGATTACATAATTTTGAAATGTGAATAGAACAAAAATCTTGTCATGATTCTTCTGTTATTAGAGAAGGAGATGCTGTAGGAATGGAATTTTCCCAACCCAGCAGCTGTGACTGTCTACTGTGAATTATGAGAATTTTATGTATCATTGATATACAATCTGTGGAGATAATCTACCCCCAGTCAAGGCTCTCAGCAATCTATATAAGAAGAAAATAATCCAGTACCTTAAGAAGCATTTCTTTCTAGGTTTTAAGATAGGAGAGGCAGCTGTAGCTGAATCTTTCCTTACCTCCACGTAATAGTGATGAATGACTTATATATGTGATCTTTAAAAAAGTTTGATGTCTGAAATTAGTAGTGATTATAGCTCAGATTTTCTAGTTTTCTAATTGGATAATGCATATACCTTTAAAAATTTAAGTATATGCCATCTATAATAAGAAGTTAAATAGTGTTTCACATTTGGCACGATAAAAATTGTAAACCTTTTATTTATTTTCTCATTATAGGCCTCAGGAGTGCAAGTTGCTGATGAAGTATGTCGCATTTTTTATGACATGAAAGTTAGGAAGTGCTCCACACCAGAAGAAATCAAAAAAAGAAAGAAGGCTGTCATTTTTTGTCTCAGTGCAGACAAAAAGTGCATCATTGTAGAAGAAGGCAAAGAGATCTTGGTTGGAGATGTTGGTGTAACCATAACTGATCCTTTCAAGCATTTTGTGGGAATGCTTCCTGAAAAAGATTGTCGCTATGCTTTATATGATGCAAGCTTTGAAACCAAGGAATCCAGAAAAGAAGAGTTGATGTTTTTTTTGTGGTAAGCCCATGTTAGGAATATTGAGCTGCTGTGAAATTTATTAAGAGAATTACTTTCTTATTGTCAGCACTTGGAGAACCAGATCTGGGACCAGAGTAATTTATGTTCACGCTATGTGCAGTTGTCATTTAACTTTTGTTCACAAGGTTTCATAATCGTAGCTGAATTGATATTCGTGAGACCAAAACTAAATTGACTGCTCTTTGTCTACTTGAAAGAATGCGATTTTCAATAATGGATTTGTTTTGGGTGGGGGAAGGGCAGGAGTGAGGTTTCTATGCATCCTCTGAATTTACTGCTTTTATAAGCTAAAATTTCCTATTTTTGTTAAATTTCCTACTTATAAGCCAAAACCCTACTTTTCCAACATGCAATGCCAGGAACCAGCCTCCTACTCTTTTAAATACACGCCTTTTACTTGTATCTCTGTAGTTTGTTACTTTTGAAGAAATTAGTGCTATTCCTTCCCCACTATAATTTGCTCTACATTTCACACTGTCCAGTAGGGTAGCTGATGCATGGGGTGTCTCAACGAAGGGAGGAAAGCCCCCTGAGCTCACCAAGTGGGTTCTTAGCTTTGTGGAAATGAATTTGAGAACAAGCCAACTAGCTATAGGAAAGATTTATTGAGACGGAGGCAAGACAGCAGGTCCAACTCCACAGACAGAGTAGGGGTCCTCTCCTGAGCAGGAGGGAGGAGGACCCCTTATGAGGCAATGGTAACATTGTTATGTGTTCAGAAATTCTGCTAGGAAACAGCTGTATATGACCAGCATTGTCTTGAGGTCAGGCCGTAAAGGTTAATTAATCATAAATTGTTGTCACAGAAAGGTAAGCACAGTTTGTGAGGCATCAGCTTAGTAAATTCATCCATCCTTGGGTGGTCCTGGGCTGGCAGCTTGCTGGCAAATTCCTTTTTCAGGGTGGTTAGGGTCTGGTATCAGTCAAAATGGCTGCGCTCAGATTCTCTTGGTCTACCTTTTCTGCCTTATCCTTACGTTATAGCCACTAGCTGCATATGGCCATTTAAATTTAAATTAATTAACATTAAAAATTCGGTTTCTTAGTTGAATGAATTACCACATTTCAAATGCTCAGTAGCCACATGTGATTAGCGGCCACCTTATTAGGTAGCACAGATATACATTTCCATCATCACAGAAAGATCTTTTGGACAGTATTGCTCTAGATAGTGCTATAAAGTGATTTTACATGGCCTTTTTCTTGAAATGCTGTTGAAATTATTATTCTGGTCTTTCACGTAAGTCAGTATATGAGATAGAGCTTTAGACAAAAGTTATACTTGTATCCCTCATTTAATTTATATTATACTACATTCCTTGATATGGCCAGGTAGCCACATAGAATATTCTCAGGCTTCCAAGGGGAAGTGGAAGTAACACCCTCTGACTTGGTGGGGGGAGGTGGTTGAAGGCTTCTTTTGATACTTTGTAAGGCAGGGAGGGACTTAGCTCTTATCTGTGTGCCACCAACAGCTTGGCGTGTGAGGGGCATGGGGCTAGGAGTTTAAAAGAATTGAGTTTAAAGGAAAGTAGATCATACACTGCGGTTCCATTTCAGTAAGGCTTTACTGCACTTGATTAAACCAGGTTGCTGTGAGGAGTGCAAATATGCGGTCAGGGTGTATGTTTGGGGCAGCTTACTGTTCATTGAGGCCGGTACATAAAGATAATAGTTGATAAGACTTAAAATTAGCACAATTTTGATTTGAATGAAGGTGCATTTGGTATTTCTACTCCATGCCAGGTATTGTGTTAGGGACTTAGAAAACAGCTGTGAATAAAACACATACAGTCTCTGCCCTTCTGGAACTGACAGCTGAGTGGCAGATATGCCAGCTAACGGTTTAGGCTTTTAAAAACTGGTCAATATTTCCTTCATTTGCAATTTTTTCCTACTTTTTTAAATGTATTTTTTCCACTGTGAAAACTATACATTCTTATAAAAAGAACATTGGAAAATAAAAGCAGAAAGAAGAAATTGTTAGTGCAGTAGTTTATTTTGCACTATTACTTATTTTAAAGAAAAGAATAAAGCCTTATTATAGGCATTTTCCATAAGAAGCTCTGTCCAGGGCCTGGGGAGTGGCTCTGAAAGTATTTTAACAATCTGGTTACAGTAAACTCAGAACAGCTGATGCTTTTTCATGTTCTTGACCTATTATTTGCATGAGAAAGGTACACACTTTGTAGCTCAAACATCTGCCAGTCCTGAGGTTGTGATGGCTTTGCCTCCCTCACTGGACCTTAGAAGTGGGAGGAATAAGCCTCTGAGAGAGAGACTGCCTTCTTCCTGGTTCCCAAGAACAGAATCTCTACTCAATAAGATGGGTGTAGACTAGCTGAGATCCACATGCCGGCGCTCATGGGTGTCCATTCAGTGTCCTGGATATATGGCAGCTAAATGCAGTCATTAAATGCTCAAAACTATTTAGCTACACAGTAGTCAACATTGTCAGTGGGTTCTTGGAAATTGCCACTTTAAGCGAAACAGCGTATGGCAGGTCCTCCAGTAACATCAGTTCATTCACATATTGGTGAGGAAAAAGTTGGTTTTGTTATACATCATTTTGCTTAAAGTCAGTTTCCAAGAACTTTCTGACAATGTTAAGTGAGGCCTTACTGAACTCCGTTTTCTCTTTGATACGTTGGTAGTGTGGTGTGGAGGCAGGCCTGAGGTTTGGTGGTCTAGTTGGAAGGAAGGCATTCATGTACAAGCAGTGTGAGGTTTTCTGTCCATTATTAACATTTGTTATTTTTCAAAATTGCTGGCGAAGAAAGTGTTTTGAACCATATGCTGTGTTTTCAGCATGTTTCCATTCAAGAGGGGCAAGGTGCTAACATTTTATAAATACAAGATAATAGTAATACTGACAATTAAGATATAATTGCTGAGTTGCCATATAACTTAAAAAAGAGATCTTTGTGAAAGGTCTATTTAGAATTATGAGATTGTACATGTGGATTTACTAGTTTTTCAAGAAAATTATTGAAACTCAGATTTTGACTCCAAGTTTGACAATTAAACATGTATTGCATTAGATCAGGATGGAAAGCAAGTACTTGTGTGCTCAGAATCTACTGTTGGAATAGATGTAAATGAAGGGACTGGTGAGGATTAAGAAGGGGACATTTACTTTATTTGTGATTTATTCTTTTCTAGAAAACAATCTGAAGCAAAAATGCCAAAATACTAGCATTTCTTAAGTCTGGGGGGCAGATACTTACAGATTATTCTCTGTACTCTTTTGTATTTTGAAACTTTTCAACTAGAAAAGCTGTTAAAAGCCTTGTTTAAATATGATTATTAGCCTGACCTCAATCCTTTATTAATAAAAAATGAAAAAATATTTTAAAGAAAAAGAACTGGGTTATACAGTAAAGTGCCCAATGTTCGTTCTTTTATTATGGACACATTAATCTGACTTTTAGTCAGTGGTTCTCTTACTTTTTTTCACCCTGGTCAACTCGAGTGACTCTGCATATGCCCATCCATGACAGTCCGCCTCTGAGGCAGCAGGGAAATAGAAAAATTTTGTAGTTAGGAAAACTCTCCAGAGAGTCTGAGGACCCTCTCCCTGTCACTGAAGCAAATGTTTAAAAAGATGTAAGTTATACTTTCTCTAAAGAAGTTTTTTCATTTTTGACATCCTTCTATCTAGGGCACCAGAACTTGCACCTCTGAAAAGTAAAATGATCTATGCGAGCTCCAAGGATGCAATCAAAAAGAAATTTCAAGGTATGGTCTGGCTTTACTTCTGGATATTTGGAGGTATGGTGAGCCCCTGGAGTGGGAGCTGCAACTTTTCTAAGAAGCACCTCGTTTTCTTGGAGAGCTTTGGGCAAAAAGAAAAAGGCCAGGGGGAAAGATGCTTGTTTTGAGAAAACCATAAGGTTGAACCCAGCTTTTCATCGTGTCTTCTGCCTTGTGCTGGTCACTTTGAGTCTGGGTGGCCTGTGTTTAATAACTGTTCCTTCGGCATTGTGTATCACGTGTTCAGACTGGTTTTAAACTAGTTTGAGGGGCTCCCAAGATTCTCATGTAGTAGGTTCGCAGTGGTCATAATTTAATAGTAAATTTGCCATTGCCTTTGAATGTAGTAGCTACAACAAAATTGCAAAAAGGAAATGTTCATAAATGGGAAAGGTACTCTTATTTCTAGTTTTACTATTGTATAATTTTAGGTAAATGATGCATCTATGTCCAAAGAAGTGCAGTCACTCCTTGAGCTGGCTGGTCGTATTTGACTTGCCACTGGGTGATTGGGATCCTGATGAGATGGCCTGGCCAGACTCCAGCCAGGAGGAAATGTTGGTATGATGGAAAGAGCATGGGGCAAGTGCCCAAAGAGTTAAGCTTGATGTCTAACTGCTGTGTGACGTTGGCCAAAACCGCTTAACTTCCATGGGCATTGATTCTGTCAGCTATAGAATGGGAGGCTTGGTCTGGATCATGTGAGCTTTAGTCTAAGAGTTTGCCCGGTCACCTTCCTGCCATGGCTATCCAAACAGCTGAGTGAGCCAGAGTCACAAGGGCTTGGCCTAATGTTGGTTTCGTTTTGTTTGTTTTACTGTGACTGACTGGTTTTTATATTCTTGTAGTAAAACAGGTTTGTCCTGGCGTGTGTTATTTAGTCAGAAAAACAAAATTCTCGCTTCCTTTCCCGAGCCTTGCTGCTGCATAGTTCATTGCCTTGTTAGGTTTTTCATGCATTTGATTTGATGTTGGGCGACCCCCAGAAGCATGTTCACTGGTCTGTTAACTGATGTTTTAAAATGATTCCTCAGCTTCAACACTTTCACAGCACAGCCAGAAAAGATTCAGAGTAGATTCTTCATCACCTTTATTCTGCATTGCCTTTTAGTAAAGCGAATTACTATTTAGACTTGATCTGGTGATCTGTCTAAAAAGACAGGGTCTTGCTGTGTCACACAGGTGGGAGTGCAGTGGTGTGTTCATAGCTCACTGCAACCTCAAACTCCTGGGCTCAAGAAATCCTCCTGCCTCAGCCTCCCAAGTAGCTGGGACTACAGACATGCGCCACCATGCCTGGCTAATTAAAACAAAATTTTTTTTGTTAAAGACAGGGTCTTGCTGTGTTGCCCTGGCTGGTCTTGAACTCCTGGCCTCAAGCAGTCCTCCTACCTTGGTCTTCTAAGGTGTCAGAATTATAGGTGTGAGCCACTGCGCCTGGCTGGTGATCTGTCTTTGACAGTGACCTTATCACCTTTTTTATAATGAAACCATCCACTGGCTTTCTCAAACCAGTCCTGAGTGGTCCAAAAGCTGACCTATTGTGCTTTCTACAGCTTGACAAATGGTTTTAAGATGATGGAATAACAATGCAGCCATTTAAAAGATAGCAGCTGGTTATGGAGAAGCTACTGTATATAATTTCATAATTGAGCTCATTCTGCAGTATGGTGATTTAGTTTTTCTAAGAAAGCAATTAGTAACATTTCACAGTTTTCGTTGTGATGGTTTTCTTAAATGTGTGATGTAATACCACTGGAGAGCTAGCCGTTTTCTATAGCAAAAGTGATGCCATTTTACTTACTTTTCACTACAGTTGACTAAATCAACTGTGCAATCAAAAACCATCTAATTCATATTTTTATTTATATTTTAAAAACCAAGAATAATTATTGTTAGAACTGCCTTTTAATTTTTTATTGATAAATACAACATATCTATAGAAAAGTATACATTACAAATTGTAGAACTTGATGACTTTTCAGACTGAACATAATGATTGTTTCTTGATCTAATGGCCAGCAGCACCCCAGAAGCTTCCCTCGTGCCCCCTTCCACTCATACCGCTGTCCTCTGCCCCTTCCTCCACAAGGATGGCCAGTACCCTGGCTTCTACAAATGGAATCACACGGAATGTCTGCTTTTTCAATCCGGCTTCTTTCAGTCAGCATTATGTTTATGAAGGTCATCCATTTTGATGCATGTAGTTTCTGATTATTCTCATTACTGTGTAATAGTCCATCGTTTGTAAATACTGACGTTTATCTGTCCTTATTAGAAGTGGTCTTTAAAAACAGTTTAATATCTTAGAGAAAGAAGTAAGCTTCTGCCATAATTCTAAATAGAACTGTTGTTTTTTCTCTCTAGGCATAAAACATGAATATCAAGCAAATGGGCCGGAAGACCTCAATCGGGCTTCTATTGCTGAAAAGTTAGGTGGGTCCTTAATTGTAGCCTTTGAAGGATGCCCTGTGTAGATCATCATTCAGTGCCACAAATTGAAAGCTTCCATGTTTAATGTTATCCTCTTGCTATATAAATAAAGCAAAAATATATTTAGGCCAGGGTCTCACTGAGGGGGAGCTGTCTTGTCATCTTTTAGAGTAAACTAAATATTCTGTGAACTTGTGCAAACAGCCCTAAATAAATCTAAATTCTAAAGTTCTATTGGTGTGAAATTAAATTCTTATTGGCCAAATGCCTGTTTTGATGAGTTGACTTACAAAGGTTTTTGTTAAGCTCAAGATTTTTAATGCAGTTCACAGTACAAGGCCATGTGAAGAGAATTATTACATCTTTGTTAACCTCAGCTCTTACTTTATTTTGCTTAGAGAATTGGTCTTAATCTGGTTATAATTTTGGCCCAAATTTTTTATTCCTTGAGCTAAACAGAATGGAATATCATACATCCTTATAATATATAAAAACACTAATACACTAACAACAGTATGGTTAAGGCAGGCAGTCTTTCGGTTCTACCAAATGTATAATGGAGAGTGCCTCCAAATTGTGTCCACTTACAATCCACGCTGATCTTGCAAAGCACTATTTCAAGCACGACGTTGGAATACAGGAAGCAGCCCCTGTAACTTCGGTGAGCTCGCCATTCGCTAGTTGGGAGACTGTTCTGAGAGTGACCTTGCATCTTGGAAATCATGGTGTGTCCTCAGGAGAATGTGCAGTGTCTTGTAACAACTAATTATAATGCAAATTAGGGCACCATTGTAATATGATTTGTTAATGAAAATGATAAAACGGTATATTGATGAGCTGAGACACCTGTGATAACTTTCATTGCGTCTCCTTCAGAACTGTGCTGCTTCTGATACAATAAAGTGTGGAAGAACATTGAGTATATGTTTACTTTGGGGCCTGGGAGAACTTAGTTTTTTAGGGCAGCCTGTGGACTGTGTGAAGTGGGAGCAGGTAGCAGGCTAACACGTGCAGGGAGCCACTGTTCATGACACTTGGACACAATTGTTGTCAACATCACAGGCATAACACTGAACGGTATAGAGATGCACAAATAGCTGAACTTAGAAGTAGCAGTAATGGCTTTATGTAATAAAGGAAGCATTTTAAACTTACCTCTCGTGTAATTATTCATGTACGAATTGGGACTAAAGGATTTTGCTCTCCATATGGGACATGTCATTGTGGTTTTGGTATTTCTGACAGAGTTATGGTCACAGCTGCCTCCTCTGACTGAATGAGAAAGTTGGTGTAACCGTTGGGAACCTTTTTCTTTTTTAATTTACTTCAGTGTTTGTTAAACTTTTCTAGATTATAAAGGTTAATAAAATCACATTTAAATTTTAGAAAACAGAAAAAAGGGAGAATTATCCATTGTCCTGCTATGCACCATAACATGGTTAGCATTTTGATACACAGTCATGTGCTGCGTAACATTTTGGTCAGTGAGACTGCATATATGATGGTGGTCATATAGAAGATTACAGTACCATATTTTTACTATTTAGATAAGTTTAGATATACAGATACTTGCACTGGGTTACAAGTGCCTGCCGAATTCAGTAGTGACGTGCTGAACGGGTTTGTAACCTCAGAGCAATAGGCTATGCCATATAGCCTAGCTGTGGACAGGCCATGCCGTCTAGGTTTGAGTAAGTGCACACCTTTTTCTTATTCCAAATGCCACGCTTTGGGAGGCAGAAGTTATCGTGCTTAAATCAAAATACTTCCTTCAAAGTTGTCTGGAAAATAGTGCTGGCTGCTCGTCCTTCTTCTATCCTGAATTTGTTTTCTCTACGGCACAGCAGTGCTTTTAGTGGCTGTGTATTAATGGGCCTCCAGGGAAGTGTTGCCGGCCCAAGACCGGCTTACGCAAGAATCAGCCATGTAGGTAGAGCCAGGTGTTTGGTCAAGGACTGTGAGAAGGAGCAAGTCTTTTCTGTGGTTTCAGCTTGTGAAGGGTGGCACCGCTTCTGTGACGGCCACTCTGCTGCAGTGCGGGCACAGGCGCGTGTGAGAGACGGATGGTGCTGTGGGAAGGATTTCAGACAGTATGCAGAGATGGAATGGAATGTAAACACGTCCCAGCACCCCACTTTTATTCCAGAAACTGGGGAGATGCTACTAGTTATGTCTCTACCTAGAGAAACCTTTGAGAAAAAGTTTTAGTGGATTCCTGAGGTTGGGGCCCAGGAACCGTGCTAACAAGCACTCCAGGTGATTCTGGAACAAAATTAGGGTTTAGACCTCAGCTCACCTTGATCAAGTATAAAACTGCAGGTGTACTCTGCTTGCAGAAAATACATTTACATCTTCACAAGTGTTAATACATTACAAAAATGTATGGAAAGCTGACCTAGGCTTTTGACTGAAGTTTATTTCAGAGAATATTAAACTCTCAGAAAATAGTGAACACAGTGACTTAGATAACAGAATTAGGTTTAGTCTAGTGGTTTCCTTTCTGCAGAACTGTCCAGAGTGTTGGCTGGTCCAGCAGACACAGGAAGTGTAATTTCTGTTTCTTGACATGTCCATTGCCCTTTGGACCATCAGGGACTGTATGCCCAAGGACACATCACTTTCTCATAATTTGGGGCATTTCTGAAATATAACAGGCTCCACGTGGGTTCCAGCTGGGCTGCAGCTGGAAGAAGGGATATTAATTGCATTATGGCTGGTGGGGACAGCAGTGAAGGCGGCTGTTCCAGGAGCCAGGGTATTTAGTGGGAGGAAGGCTGTAACTTGTGTCCAGCTGGTGAGGGTTCTCCCTGGGCTCTGCCCAGTCCCAGAAGGGCAGCTGGGAAGGGATAGAACCTCTGACAGCCTCCTCAGTAGCCAGCCCAGAGATACCTTGCCTAAAGCTCACTTGACTCGTAAAGGGCAGAACTGGGACAAAAACTCAGATCTTTTCTCTTCCTGAGCTATTCCCACTGCACCTCTGGAGAGTTCCACTTCATTTTTTTCTTTTTTTTTTTTTTGTGAGAGAGGGTCTTGCTTTGTCACCCAGGCTAGAGTGCAATGGCGGCATCATAGCTCACTGCAACCTCAAATTCTTGGGCCCAAGTGGTCCTCCTGCTTCCTCCTCCTGAGTAGCTGGGACCACAGGTTTGTGCCACCACACCCAGCTAATTTTTCTTCTATTTTTAGTAGAGATGGAGTCTCGCTATTGATCAGGCTGGTCTCGAATTCCTAAGCTCAGGCAGTCCTCCCACCTCGGCCTCCCAGAGTGCTAGGATTATAGGTGTGAGCCACTGAGCCCGGCCCTCCACTTCATTTCTGACATCTGAAATTCGAAGGTTAGATCTTGTTCAGTGGTGCGATTTGAAAGGGGTAAGAAGGAAAGCAATACATTTCTTTTGCGCTCTGAGCTCCCGCTAGACCCAAACCTGAAGGAAGTACAATGAGTAGACATTTGTAGAGGGTGTAGACTGCTTTCTAAAATCTCATTTCCCCCTATCCTGTCCACCAAAGCTTTGCTGGTTTCCCTGCTCTCCCTGTCCTCACTGCACTGCTTCCTTTTCCAGGTGGTGTAGGTGTGGCCTGTAGGCCAGGCATCCTGGTGCCTGTGCCTTTCGCTGGGTATCACACAGAGATGACCGAGTAAGCTAGTCAGAAGAGCGTGTGTGTGAGGGGCTTCTGGTTCTGGAGGTGGGTTATGCTCAGTGTGACCCTGGAGCTTTACTCTAAAGGGGAGGGTTTAGGCAAGATGTTCTCAGGACTCTCCTAGCCCTAGTATTGGCAAGGTAAGATGCAGAAGCCCTGCCAAGCCCAGGCAATGGCCTGTGAAGCCAGGCCTGGGAAGAGCAGTGCTTCCTGTTAGCAGGCCCGCGAAAGCCACTTCTCCAGTACCGCTGCATTGGCAGGACAGAGCTGTGTGGCCAGGCCAGTGATCCAGGCTCTGTCCCATGTTGAATACCATGGGGGGAGGCAAGTAGGGCTTATTAACCTCTTTTGCAAGAAATCTGCTGAGGGCTGCTGCTTTAAATAACACTCCCGAGCGCCTCTTTCCTCCTCCCCAGCCAGATGGTGGAACCTTGCCCAGGCACAGCCCGCTGAGGAAAGGCAGCCCAGAAGGCTGCCTGGCAAACTCGGGCTCCCTCTGCCGGCCTCTCCCAGAGGCCTCTGCTGGGTCTAAGGGCTGCTCAGACCCTGCTGGGGTACACGGGGACAGAGGAGGGGCCTTAGGTCCCATAAGTCAGCGGTCCCCAACTTTTTTGGCACCAGGGGCCAGTTTCCTGGAGGACAATTTTTCCACGGACTGGGGATGGGTGCCGTGGTGGTGTGGGGGGGCTGCAGAGCTCAGGCCGCAATGCAGGGCCCGTTTACTAACAACAGGCCACAGACTGGTAATGGGCTGCAGCCCAGGGGTTGGGGACCACAGCCTTGAGTGGCATTTTCCTGACCTCCCCAGGTGGCCCACACCCTCTCTGTGCCTGCCTTTGTCTTCCCTCCTTCCCCACAGTAGACACTGGGCTCCCACCAGGTGGGCTGAGGGGGAGCAGCACTCCAGCCAGAACCCAGGGGCAGCCATTGCACCTTAGAACCCCCAGGTAGCAGACTGGTACCCTCAGTGTCCCTCGTCTCTCCCAAGGTCTGCCTTTTCCTCTGCTCCAAGTGAGTACCCCGCCTTCCTGTGTCTCCAGAGGGCCTCTGCCCAGCACAGGGGCTCGCAGTTCTGCAGTGAGACAGGTGATGGGGAAATGCAGGCTCCCAGGCCCACGATGGCGATTGGCAGGAGGCCTGGTGCCAGCCACAGGCCTAGCCTGTTCCCCCACCCACTTGCCAGGGCCCCAAACTGGCGTTGCATTGAGGCCGCCCATGTGCGGAGATCTGCCTCCCCCACCCTCAGCCCCTGCTGCAGACACGAAGGCACACAGGTGCAGCTTTGAGAGGCTCAGTGGCTGCTTGGCAGCTCTTCGTGGGGTTCCATACGCTCCCAAACCCAGCTCTTTCCCTCCGACCCTGACCCACCCAGCTGCCATGCACTGCCAGGCAGCAGAGTAGGTTAGAAACCTGCTCTGCCTTTCACCAGGTGAGGCTCACCTCATGTGAGAGCCAAGCACAGGGCCAGGCACGTGCAGACACCTCCTCCTCCTACCTAGTCTCCCTGCCAGAAACCATGGTGTCAGTGTCCCAAGACCTGTGGGCTCCCTCTCCACAGAGTTCTAGAACAGGAATGATTGTCTCCTCTAGCTGAAAACCCTCAGCGGCTCTGCCCGCCTTAGCCGGTCCAGTCCCCCTGGGCTTCATAACCTGGCCCCATGTGCCTTTTCGGCCTTCCTGCCTTTCACAGCCTGGCCTCTGCACCGCTGCCCCATGGCCGAGACCCTCCTCCTCCCGTGAGCTCTAGCCGAAGCCACTTCTCCTGGAACCTCCCCAGGATTTCCAGCACCTGCTCCCTGTACAACCACTAACAAGTGCCACTGCATGGTTAGGTGGCCCAGACAGGTGCTCCAAGAGCCTGGCAGAGGTTGAGTGTGTGTGGGAGCTGAAGGAAGGAGGCAAGAGCGTACACAACGTGCAGAGATACTTCCCGAGGCCTTGAGGTTCCGGACAACCACCCCCAGAATCGCACCCACCACCTAAAGGGGCCATGAGGTGCAGAGATCCCAGGGCAGACTTGACTCGGGCTCTTGGGCTGTCACCCTCCCCTCTCCCCATGCTGTCTTGTAGGACCTGTCATCCAGGTGCCCCAGCCAAGTTGTCCAATCAGACCCTCTACCAGATTTCTGAGGCTTGACAGATCAAAGTGGAACAGCGCTTGGTCAAGGGAGCTCCTTGACAAGACCGGGTGATGTTGGCCCCCAAGACCCTGGAGCTGCTCAGACCCACTTTCCATTCCTGGCCTGGTTCAGGTCCCCGTGACTCTGAGCCTGTAAATACAGTTTTCTGTTTTTTTTTTTTTTTTTTTTTTTTAGCTCCAGTCTCCTATTGTTTACCAAGAGCCCCTCTGCGCTTCTTGGGCTTAAGGTTCTACTGGACCACACGGCCATGGGCCACCAAGGACACTACGTATGAGGGTCACAGAAGGTCTAAGCTGGCGTCCCCCAGTGAGACTGCTTCCAGAGGGCAGGCAGCAGGCTGCTGTAGCCACAGACCACCCCTCCTGACGTGGCTGTTCGCCCCAGTCCCAGCCAGGACAGAGGCCCACCCTTGTTCATTCACTGTGCTCACTTCACACAGCAGCCCAGGCCACCAGCCCTGCTCACAGAAACCTCAGGACCTCAAGGGCAGGGGACAGCAGTCAGTGCATATGGATACCAGGTGTCACAGGCCCTGTCCCTTACCCTACCCAGCTGGCACTTGGACCTGGGAGGCAGCACGGAGAAGCGCTGGGGGGCCGGGAAGCAGCGAGCCTCACCCCCACTCTACATGGAACCGAGGACCACACTTGCTCTCCCCCCAGGGGTAGCCCCTCTTGGTTCCTCATCCTGGGCCTGAAAGCCAGACGGGGGAGCCCCAGCAGAAGACCAGAGACTGCAGCGCCGGGCAACAACGTTGGTTTTAATGGCATTAACATCGAGGAGGTCACAGTCAGTTCTGGCTGGCAACTTCGAGGGGTGCAGGGTTGCTGCCTCGCTGGGCTGGGCCGCGGCCCTCCAGTCTGCCCCACAGCCTTCGAGAACTTACCACCTGGTCCCGGCCACCTCCCGGCCCTGCCCCACTGAAAAAAGACAATTGCACTGACTGACAGATCCCCAGAGCGTTGGCCTCCTGGCACACACCCGCGGGGGCTGTCACAGAGTTGACGAGGGCTTTGGCGTCTGCGCGGCGGCGGTCCTGGGCTGCTCCCGGGGAATAGTGTTTATCAAATGTGACAAAGGTTCTTTTACAAATTGGGGGTCTGGAAGATCTATTTCTGTGGCTCTAAGAGACTCTTGTCTCTAATGGCTTCTCTTGGAGCTACCGGAAGTTGGGCCTGGATAACGCTGTATTGGTTGGTTTATGTATTTGTAAGGAATGTGTAAGGCATTTTGGTAAGTTGAACAGTAACTTCTTTTTCCACAGAGGAGACTCAGACAGAGGTGCCCTCCTTTGAGCTGCTACCGTCCTCCTGCGAACACAGAGGGCAGAGTGAGGGACAGGCTGGGCTGAGGAGCCGAGGCACAACCGCTTGTCCCCAAGGCCTAGGGACAGTTGGGCCTCTCCCTGGATTAATGCCCCCAGCCAGTCCACAGAGCAGGAGCCCAGAGCCAGCCCCAACTTGGGATGCAGAGGAGAGCCGGGGCCTTGAGTCTGGGGGAGAAACTGTGGTCCTGCAGCCAGGGGGCTGGGCCTGTGGTAGGGGCACTGGCTGAGGGGCCCCTGTGGGCTGCAAAGGGAGGACCTGGGCCGGCAGAGGGGGTCAGACATCCCTTCCCACTGAGGGAAGCAAGGCCGGGTGCCGGGCCTGGTGGGCTGATGCCCATGTTAGAAAGTCTCTGTCCCCACCACTGTTCCAGTTCCACGTCTCCGCGGGGCTCCCAGCACTGTGCCCACCTCCCAGCAGCCCGATTCCCACCCACCCGCAGTGCGGGCTGAGCCCCAAGTGTGGCCCTGGCAGGGACAGGGCACACTCACTGTTTTTTCCAGCTGTTCCTGCAACTTTTTCACTGTGTCTTTCTCCTTTGCCAGCTGCTCCTGGGTTGTCTTCAAAAGCTCCTGCAGTTTGGTGGCAGCACGTCCCAGGTCACTTGTTAACTTTTTCTCTTTTTCTAGTCTTTCCTGCGGGTCACAGGGTTGGAGGGGGTCAGCCCTCACATGGCACCAGCAGGAGGGCCACCACAGCTGTGAGCACCGGCCCCTAAAGCCCTGGGGACTGGGTCCTCTGGGGGCACGAGGAAGGCATCTCCTGGTCACCCAGACAGACAGTGATGGCTGGGAGGCGACAGCCTGTGTTGGCCCTTAGGTCTGTGTCCTGTCGTTTACCAGCTGCTGGGAGAGCTTCCTGGGATAAGAACGGTCACTCTGCACTGTCCAATGCAGCAGCCATGAGCTACGTGGCTGCCACACCTGGCACAAGGCTGAACCGACTTCATTTAAACAGCCACACCAACTAGTGGCTGCCATGTAACCACATGACATTGCAGGGTTAGCACCCTCCCCCAAATAAGCCTGGATCTGCTTGAGAGGCCTCAAGATGTCCCCCACCAAGCGGGGACAAGGGCAAGCTGGTGCTGAGGACTGGCCCAGTCTCCCCTTCTTGGCCTCAGTGGCCCAGCCTTGCGGCGGATCCCACAGGTCCGACTCCCACCCCAGCGCCCACCGCTACCTTCAGCTGCGCGGCCTCCTCTATTTCTGAAGACTCCAGGGGCCCAGCAGTGCGGAGCTTCTCTAGCTCTTCTTGTAACCGACATGCCACGGTCTGAGCCTTCTCAGAGAGGGGAGCAGGGTCTGGGTGAGACGCCTTACACGTAGTCGAGCCGTCAAACCCCACCAAGCACGCTCAAGCCTCTGGCTGGGACGAGCAGGCAGGACCCACATGTCCCAGGGGGCAGGAGACTGCCCGAGAGCACCAGACCCGCAGAAGACCTGAGGACACAGACCACCCACAAGCCACCAAGGTGCCCACCCGGCTGGGCCCACCCCCAGAGCTAGCCAAAAGCTAGCGGGGGCTGAGAGCCGGGGCAGGGCCTGACCTCCTCAAACTCGGCCGTGAGCTTGTGCCTCTGCATCTGCTCGTCCTCCAGGACGGCCTCTGTCCGCTCCAGCTGCGTTTTCAGCTGTGTGGAGACATCGCAAGCATAGCTTGGGAACCTGGAGAAGCACTCCCTTGGGGGCACAGGGCTCCGGGGCAGGCTGAGACCATGGGTCCACCTTCTAGCTGCTTCTAGCGCTTCCTTGGCCTTCCTCACCCAAGCGAGGAATCTGCAACACGCCCCCCTTGGGAGATGGTGCCCCAGCCCCTCGCATGGAAGATGGCGTGTTTGAAGAGAGGCTGATGGGGCCTCTGCAACCTCAGGCGCCATTAATGAGACCCCCAGGACAAGAAAGATGCTTCAGAATCCCAGTCCCACAGCAGTAACTGCCCCAGCAGCCACACCACAGCCACCCTGGTGACAGGCCCCTGCCTCCTGGTGAGGGCTCTCAGTGGCCATCACTTAGATCAAAACCCTGGAGAGCAAACCTCCTGCTAGTGATGTCCCGGCAAGGGCTACCACGGGGCCAAGTCCCCTTCTGTGGCTGCAGACCCTGCCCGGGGCTGCTCCTCCAGCCCTGTGGGTGCTGACCCCGAGTCGACCCTCCCTCACACGCTGTTGGGGCCAAGAGTCCCCCTCCCCACTCCCTGGCCTCTCCACCCCGCCACCTTCCCTGCGTCATTCAGAGGCTGGTGGCCCTCATCAGGGCAAGGGGAGAGGAGGCGCGGGTGGAGGCTGGCAGCAGCCGGCACGTGTTTAGTAAGAACGGGCCGTGGAGCCTGCGCCCCACCTGGGGTTAGTGGCGTGTCTGGGGCCAGCTCACCGCCCTAACCTTGACAGGGTCCTGCTCGGCTGGGGGTGCCTCTGGGGAGGCAGCCGGGGACCCAGCTACGTCACCATCCTCTACGTGGCTCTTCATCTCACTCAACTGCTGCCTGACCTGAAACAGGGAGGGTCGGTTTGTGCAAATACACGGTCGCACGCCCACCTTGCACACACTCACACACTCGGACCCCCCTTGGAGGACCAAGGCTGCTCTCAACAGTTAAAGCCCCTTCAGGGACCTAGTCTGGTAACTGTGACCTGTGTCCGAGTCCCCACCCCCATGAAGGTTTGCTGAGACAGGGGCCAAGGTCACAACCCCTGACCGGAGCTACAAAGAGGCCTTGAGACCAATAAGCCTCTGGACGGATGAGCCCTGTGTGTTCTGCTCCAAGGCCAAATGGGCAGGGAGCCCTCCCGGAGGGCGAGGTGACCCCTGATGGACACAGCCCGCGCAGAGCTAATGAGTCCAAACGGAACAGGAGGCGGCCGACAACACTGTCTACGCCCTCCGTTTCTCCTCCAAGAATGCGGTTTACTCCTCAGAGCCCCTTCTGGGGTCTAGGAAAGATAATGGGATGATGTTCTTGCCAAATGAGGTCCCCCACCTCTCAGCTCCATCACTGGGGGTGACACATCTGATGTTCCACAAGGGCCCCCACACCACTGGGCCTCCAATTTGAAGGGCACTGGTGTCACCTGAGAAGGTTCCAACCAGGAGACCTGCCTAGGGGCCTTGGCAGGAGCTCCCCAGGGGATATGGGTGGCCTCGGGCCCCATCCAAGAGGCCCTGCTCCGAGGAGCAATCCCACGTGCAGGGGCTGCCCCCACACTGCTTTCCCTCCTCCACTCGAGCCCCCAAAGGCAGAAGCTAAACTGCACAGTTCAAAGATGACAAGAAACTCTGAGGGGTTTTCTCTACGTGCACCCCAAGCCTGGGCCATATCCCTGGGCCTGTCACCCAGACCTGGCTTAGCAAAAGACCTCAATGAGTGGCCCCAGACTTGGGAGACTTGGTCTGAGCCGTACCCACCCTCTGGTGTGTGGCCCAGGTAAGACCCGAATGACCGGGGGCCACCCAGAGAGTTGGGCGCACGTGCCACACTCACCGGATGCTGCAGCCAATGCCAGCTCCAGGGACCAGACCTTCTGTCCCGCCTTAGAAAGCCAGAGCTGCACATTTTTATTCAAAATCTCCCGATTTCTAAATGTTACCAACCAAGTCAAGATTTTAAAAGACCATACAGACCAAACGCAACGGGTCTGTGGCCTTACAGCTGCTGCTTACAGCCCCGGCGCCGCGCTGGTACCGGGTCCAGCGAGGCCCCACTGGGCCAAACGTGCCAAGGAGCTGGGACTTGGGCCCCTCCGAGGCTGCTGTGCGGTGGGCGCTCCTCCGGCCCACGAGGGGGGCTTGTCTTTTTCTGCAGCCAGCACTCGGTACTGGGCCAGGCACAGAGCAGTCCTCCCTGCACGGCTGCGGGTTTGACTGAACGGGTATGAGCAGTCGTTGAGGTGAGAAAAACCCGCAGAAGGCTAGGAGCCTACTGAGAGCCACAGTGGGGGGTGGGTAGCCAGGCCAGGAGGGACTCCCAGGCCTCCTGCTCTTGTGTTGCCAAGGGTCGCAGTGTCCCTGATGCCCCCAGGGAAGACAATGGGCTCACAGGGAGTGCAGGCCCCCAGAGCTCCCACTGCCTGGAGCAGGTGGCCAGGGGATGGGAAAGGGAGCGTGAACGCTCTGGTCCCCGCAGCCACAGGCCCGGCATAGAGTTTGGGCAGATGTACAAGAAGGGCCCACGAAGCCTGCCCCACACAGCCAAATTGGCGACATGGCCCCCTCCGCTAAGCTTTGAGTGGATGTAAACACACGACCGGCAAACTCACTGCACACACACAACTCCCAGGTCACACTTCCCGCCCCAGGGACACCAAGTGCACCTACCAGGGCAAGCTCATCACTCTGTTTCTGGGCTTCACTCTTGGCTGCATCCAGCTGAGACTGAGATTCTAATAAAAGTTGCCTCAACTTGGGGAGAAAACAGCCCGGTGACGGGAAAGAAGAGAGAAGAGAACAGCAGCTCCTGTGAGTTTGCGCCTGAACACGAAACCTAATCCCGCCATCAACCAAAACCCTTGAGGAGAACACGGGACAGGGCAGGGCGCTGGGCAGCCGAGGCTTCCCGCGGACTCAGGAAGGATGGCATTCACTGCACGCCTGGCTCAGCCCATCACAAGTGTTTATGGATTGTTTCTTGCAAAAAAAGGCCAAAAGTTTGGGATTAAACCAGAATTGGGGTGCCAGGTTTGTGCTTTCGGCTTCAGAACAGTCACAAAACAGTATCGGATTTAAATCCATTCCCCACTGCAAATGATGTCAGCGAGGGGGGCAGAGAACTCCTTTGCTGGGAGTTCCAGGGGCTGACCTAGAATGCCAAGTCCCCACTTTGCTGGGAGTTCCAGGGGCTGACCTAGAATGCCAAGTCCCCGTCAGTGGGTGAGGCTGCCGTTCTGAAACTTGCCCGAGACACGCCTCAGGCCTGACAGCCCCACGAGGAGTCAGCAGGAGTCGGGCAAAAGCTGAAAATCCAGACTTTTAAGGCTCACGTGAGAGCTGCTCCCAGGGGCTGAGGAGCAGCAGCTCCAGGGAGGACCAGACTCTGCCGGGCAGGGGCTGCGGTCCTGGGAGAGCCGGACTCACCCCTGCCACCTCCTTGGCATAGTTCTGGCACTCAGCGCTGGCGGCTGCCATGTGCTTCTCGAGCTCCGCCTCCAGGTGCGAGGTGTGCTCCCTCACCTGCACGGACACGCACAGGCACACGTCAGCAGCCCCCAGCCGGCCGCAGGAGGGCACTAAGCACAGGGCACGGGCTGGCCCTGGATAAGCAAAGACTGTCAGGAGACCTCTGAGGCCCACGAGAAACCAGCCATGGCAGGAGAACCCTTCAAGAAAATGGTGCCCTGAACTCCGCACACCTGGTTCCTGACAGGCTCTCAGACCTCAGGCGTTGGGAGAGGACAGCTCAGAGATTCACTTGCAAAGGCAGGTAGCAAGGTACCTTCTCCAAGGCCTGGGCTTGCTGTGTTGTCTGAAGAGAGCAGTGGGGCCACCTTGATTCTGAAGGCCATGACAGAAGGCATTGTTTACCAGGGCCGAGCAATCTGCACAGGCCATTCTAGGGTGCAATGTCTCTCGCCAAGGAAGAACAAGACAGACAAGATCCCTCAGCTTGGGAGACAATAGCCTCTCTTAAGGCACGTGCTCCACGAGGGAAAAACAACTAGTGGTCTCTGTAATGTCACTTTCTAAGAGGCTCATGGGATAGGAGAAAGGGCCCTCTGAGCAGAGCCCCACATACCTGATCTGAACTCTCAAGTTCTCCTTTTAGCTTCTCTACAATCTCTTCGAGATGTTTCACTGCAGCCTGTGACTATGAAGCAAAGGAAAGGTCCCATCAGACGAGGACCTGGGGGACGTCTTCTGACCGAGGCCATCCTGGGACCCGGGCAGCACCCACCCCTCCAAGCCCAGCCAGTTGCTCTAGCGCCCTCCAGCAGCATGTTCCTGGGGGTGGGTCTGGGGATGGGGGCCTCCTGGAGACAGGGGAGCTCAGCTGCCATCCCACAATTGCGTCACCAGAAAACACCAACCAAGACACACAAGTCTCGTAAGCGAGAGAGATGACCCTGTGAACCATCCCCCCGGACTTCACAGAGTTCCGGTCCAGCTGTGTGTCTCGGCAGGTCACGCCTGGCTTCCCGAGCCCCAGGTGTGCAGGGCCCGCTGGTACCTTCTGCAGCTCCTCCTCCGCGGCACCCACTCTGGCCTTCCACACCTGCTCCTCCTCTTCCACGCTCTTCTGCAGGTCTTTGAGCATGCCCTCCTGCGGGGACACCACACTGAGGCGGCAGTTCCCTCCCGGGCCCCACCCCACATGGATACAACGGCCTCTTCTGGCCCCCAGCCCCTGTGACAATCTGCTGGTGCTTCCCCTGCCGCGACTTTGTTACAGTCCGCACAGCGTGGGGAGGGAACGTGGCTGCTGTTCCGGGAGGGCGGGCCTCTGGCCAGTGCCAACACTGGCTGCAGGGCCTCACAGGGAAATGAGGTCTGCAACTTGGAAGGGGTCCTCAGGACTCTCCTCACTGTTGGGCTTTGCCACCAGCACTGCCCTTGTTAGGGGCCAAGGACCAGGAGCACAGGTCGGGTTGGCCAGAAGGGAGGGACGGACCTAGCATCAAGCTTGGAGTCACCAGGAGATGGGGGTTCAACCCACAGTCAGCCACTTACCTCGCCCTTCCCCATGGCTGGCTGCCTGATCATCCTCTGTTACAACCGAGTCTCTCCTCCCCTGAGAGACCAGCCCCAAGCCTGCAGCTCAGCCCTCTCCTCAGCGCAGAGCAGTGAGGACCTCAGAGCCTCGTCCAGCCCTTTACCATTCAGCCAAAGAAACCGGGCCCAGAGCAGGGAAGTGACTTGCCTAAGGCCACAAAGAGCCAGTGGACTTCTCTGAAACACCACCTGCCTCCCTCCCTGTAAGTCCCGAAGCTCTCCTTCCTGGCAGCCCCTCAAGGGGTGGGAGGGACCCCCAACCCACAACATTCACCCGGTCCGGTCTCACTCACTGTCTCGCCCAGGATGGTGCGGTACTGGTCGCACTCGGCCTGCAGCGTGCTCTGGGTCTCCTCAGCCTCCCTTAACTTGGAGGCCAGGTCCTGAGGGCAGAAGGGAGAACAGGTGCCCAGTTAGTCAAGCGCTATGGATTTTCTCTTGGCGCCCACTAAAATGAGGCTGGGCATCTTCCCGTCCCAGGGACAGGGGAGAACACGGGGACATTGGCAGCCCCACTTACCAAGGAGGGCTCTGTGGTAGCTGGCGGCTGCTTCAGCAGCTCAGAGCCTTTCTCTTTGAGCTCCTGCAGCCACTCAGTGTAATTCTGCAACAAAATGTGCGTGGTGAGGCCCGGGGATGTTCCCTGGGAGCAGTGGGGTCCCCAGGAGCCACCCAGCCTTCCTACCTGGTGTGCCGAGACAGAGAGTTCAGGGAGCAGAGCCAGGAGGGCCTCCCTGGTCTGCGTCTCGGTCAGGCGGAGCTGCTTCTCTGACTCCTCCTAGAGTGTTGGCAGGGGACAAGAGCGTCAGCTAGAGGTGCAGAGCACCCCTCAGGCGTTTACTGACACATCTTGGTCACCACTCCAGGAAGGACAGGTCCTCAGCTGTCCAGGGAGGGACAAGAAGCAGTGGAGAAGCCGAGTGGCTCTGTGGGCTACCTGAAGTCGGGGACTCGCCCCAGCCCATGCTGCTCAATGTTAAACAGCCTAAGCTCTAATGGAAGGAGGGGACTGGGCTGCCGCGGCTGGCAGGCTCCCCCCAGCAGGTGTGCGGGTCCCATCAGCTCTCCACATGTAGGGGAGGGGAAGGGGGTACAAACGGATGTGGGGCCAGGGTGGGAAGAGGCAGCTGGGGGACACGCAGTGTTTTGAAGGCAGGAGCTACGACGGGGAGGCGTATGGAGGAAGAGAGGCAGGACGTCTCCCAGTAGCCAGCACGGACAGTGGGCCCAGTGTTTCCACTCTGCAGAGGCGGAGCCCACTCAGAGAAGACAGGGCACTTGGCCTGCCCCGTCTCTGGTCACGTCCCTCCTGAAGTGTGATTCTACACCCCAAGCTGTGCTGGGCCTGGAGCCCCGACTGGTCCTCAAGGAAAAGCCAGCAGCTCCCATTCAAAGCACAAAAAAGGAAAAGGAACCAAGGACTTAAGTAGCCATGAAGCAAAGCCTAGGACCACAGCGTCCCCTGGGGACAGAGGACGGGGACCCTTTCTGCACGCTGTGGGTGACTGCTGGGGGTTTCTGCCTAAAAGAAAGTTTTATCTGATAACCTGTCCCCAGCAGGCTGCACTTGCCACCGGCCCCAAGACCACCTGGGCATGACCTGAGACCCGGGTGGCATCCCAGAACGTGCGTGGAGGACGGCTGACCACGGGTGCCCAGCCTGGCCACAGCACACCTGGTCTGCCGTGTGCCTACGAAGCCGGCCCTGCTGGGCTCCCCAGTTACCCACACAGTGCGGGAGGCCTGCATGGACCCCCATTCAGGCCTTCTCGTCGTGTGAGTCCAAGGCAAGCCACAGAGGACCTGGGGGCCACCTTCTGTCATTATCTGGCTGTGTGACCACAAGCAAGTCACATGGCATCTCTGGTCACAGCTTCTGCACTTGCCACAAGGTGGCCAGATGGTCTCTGAGGTCCCTTTTGGGGCTAAAAGTCCAAGACTCTAAGAGTCTACTGACAGCTCTAACAGCATGGCCTGAGGCCAGCCTTCACCCCTGCCCCGTCTTGGGGTCCTCATCTGAGATGACCCACAGGCTCCCTGGGAGAGTCATGGGAGTCACTGCAAAGCTCACACTATCGGGACAGACATTCCTGTGTGAGTGAGGCTGGGAGAGAAATATGTGACCTAAAAGGGGGGTGAGGTTTAGTTGCCGCTGCCACCGGCCACATCCCCTGCCAGAGCCTCTGTGCTGGCTCCTGACTGGCCCAGGGCCCCAGAGGTGACATGGGGGTCCTAGACACTGAGAGACGCCAGCTTTCACCTGAGCTGGGGGCAGGGAGCTTGTGGCCAATGCAGACTTCACTCCCAGAGTGTGCGCTGCTAAGCTTGCTGCTCCCCATGACTTACTGTAAAGATTACTCATGGAACCTACTGGGCCATGAGCTCAGAGGGCCCCAGAAAGCATTATTCACACAAAACGCCACACAACAAAAGCAACATGAAGTCCACGAAGGCTGTACAACGTGGGGCTCAGTCCCACCCAGTGGCTGTGCTCAGCCCTGCGCCCTCACGACAGAGGGCCCAGCGGGGAAAGTCAACCAAGGACACACATCTTTGTCCCCTCATTTTAAAGAGGAGAACAGGAAGGCAGGGAAGGAAGGGAAAGAAAGGCGAGGAGGGAGAGAAGCGGAGATGCAGGAGCCCAGGGTCTGGCGTGGGCTCTGGGGCCCACGCTGCTCTGTGCGCAGTCTGGGGACCAGCAGGAGTCTGGGGACGGTAGGTGCTGACCTTGGCCTGGGTCAGGGAGCGCAGCTTCTCCTCGCAGGCCCTCTCAGCCATGGCCAGCGCCTCCATGGCCTTCCAGTTCTTCTCTCGGAGGTCCTGGAGGGGACATAAAGGAAGAGTCCAGGGCCCATGCAGGGTCAGTCGCTGACACGTGTCCCACGAGCCGCCTCAAGCCAGTCTTGGGCAGGGCCTGGCCTTGAGAACCTCCCCAATCCACCCCAGACCCTACAGGGGACCTGCAAAGGGACAAAATGCCCTTTACTTGGCCCACACCCACGTGGCCTCTCCCTGGCAGCACTTAACTCAAGGCCAGGGTGCCACAGCTTAATGCGGGCGGTCACGGCACAGGGGCGAAGAAGCAGGTGCCCTTTAGAGGAGGACACTACTAGTATGAGGGAAGAGGGAGGGCCAGCCGCCTCTGCCACCAAACAGCCAGCACTGGCCTGGCTGGCTCTGGCAGAGCCCGGCACAGGGAGGATGTGGTCGAGGCCCCATGGTCACCGTAGAGGAGATGGCACGGTGGGCCTGTCACCTGTCTGGCTTCCTCCACATCCCCTCCTCCTGGCACCAGCCTCCCCGCTTGGGGTGAGCACAATGACCCAGGCTAGGCCCATTAGCACAGTGTCCCCATCACGGGGACTGGCTCCACCCTGGGGCATGTGATGCAAGCTGATCTAAGGGCAGTCAGCTCCGGGTCTTCTGGTGGAACTGAGGGTGGGCAGAGACCCCAGCACACCCAACACCCCCAGGGGGAGGCAGGCCTTCAGCCACTGATCCCAGAACGACGGGGTGCAGAGCAGAGCTCAGCCCTCCCCTGACTAGTCTGGGCAGGGGCCACGCGGCAGGTGTCTTCAGGCTGTCATGGAGGAGCCACTCCCGGCCGGCCACACGCTGCGCTGGCCTGCTCTTCCCAGCCCGGCTTGCCCACCCTCCCCACTCACGTTGTTCTTCACTTTCTGCTGCTCCACAGCCTCCCTGAGCTCAGTGGCCTCCTTCTCCAGACACGACACCTGGGACTCCAGGTCCTTGAGGCTGAGGGGACACAGCGAGGTCACTGCCCTGGCTCCAAGGTGCCACAGCCCCCACAGGTCCTGTCTCGGGAGGGCCCCCTTCCTCTGCCCAGAGCACCTGGCCTGAGGCCCCTCCCTGGTGAGGAACACCCCTAAGGCTGAGCCACTTGACCGGGGATGGTCTCCTCCACCTGACAGGGCGCAGGCTCTCAGGGAAGCCAGGCAGCTGCCCCGGCCCCTCCTCCCTCATCCAGAGCCTCGACCTCAGAGCGGCCACGGTGGCCAGCATGGGTGGGCCCTGGACAGTAGGCTTTCCAGGATATTCTTTCTTCCTGATAGACCCACTCCTGCCCTGTCCTCACAGAACGTGCCACACGGCCCTTCTCATGGCCACACCTGACTCGCAGAAGACCTGGGCTGGGCCTCCTCAGGAGATGCCTGAGCTCCACACTCGCACGGTGTGACAGCCCCGGAGACTCAGCACCGCTGCTCGCAGCAGATCACAATAGCCACGACTCCCCCTCGAGTGCAACGGACCATCCTTTGTCCAAACCCTAACTCTCCTGAGCGCAAGGGCTCCCTCCTCAATCTGTGCCCTGGGAGCTGAGCAGTCAGCCTGAGACGACCCCCAGATGTCGTGTGATTGGCGAGATGCTAGTCCCCATCTTTCCCACGCTTCTTTCCAGCTGCAAGGACCCAGTGGGCTCTGTGTACGCCCATCATGCAGAAGTGAGGGGCTGACGCTGCAACGAAACTGTACTAGTGGCTGTGAAGGACAAATGCCACGCAGACACTCTAATATGCCACCTTCTGCATGAAGATTTAGAACAGATGGGGAAGGCTCCAGGGACATATGAACTAGAGATTCCAGAGTGGTGAGCAGGGACCTGAATCACAGCAACTCAAGCCACTCTTAAGCTACGGGAAGACACTCCAACATGGGGGGTGGTCTGTCACTAGCCCGGGGAAGGGACATACGTATTTCTATTTCTTATTGTTGGCTCTGACCAAAAGCTTTTTGAAAAACACCATTCAAAGACACACTAACACTGAACAATTTCAGCACAGGCCAAGCGTGCTGATTGTGCTAACTACCCTGTCTGGTAATGGACGCTGGCCGTGGCACAGCCTCATTTTTTTAATCTTAAATACAGTTTGCACCTCGTCTTGAAGACAGCTGCTGGCTTCCTGGCTGTTAGGTTCAGGCTCACAGCACCCTGCTGGGCCCCACAGCCTCTTCCTACAATCCCTGCAGATGCAACAGCCTCCTCCAGCAACCACCCTAGGAGCGTCCCCAAGGGAACAAGACCCCGAGGAATGAGAGTCGGCAGGCCGATGGCAAGGACACACTGACAATCGCTTGCTTGGTGGCCACTGCCTGAGTTCCAGAACATTTGGGGCTGAATACTCCTCTCTATTCCAGAATAAGATGGCCCAACTTAGACAAAACTTTCAGATCAAAGTTTTGAGAAGGAAATTTTGAAAAAACAATTTCTGCCAGACACATCTGCACGATGCAAAAAATTAAAATTGATCCTATCAGCAACATGAGTTAATTAGCCTAGGAGCTTACTGTGTGGTCCAAGAGTCTGCTCTTAAAATACAAGAGCAAAAACCTGAGCAAACACGACCTTCTCTACCCCAACAAACCACCATGAGAAACAAAGCGAGCCCATGTTTTCCAGGAAAGGAAGGTGGAGAGGTTTTGGTTGGGGGGTCTTCCATGAGGCACTGTGGGCCTTTGCATGGCTGTTCCTTTCCCAGTCCCCAAGCCACAGAGCCCAATGCCAGGGAGCGTGGGCTGTGGCCTGGGGAGCCACGTCTGCTCAGCAACACACAGGGAGACGAACTGTTTGGCAATGACAGCCAGGGTAAGGGAACCTTCCTGGCTGAGCTCCCAAGACTGTCGGCATGTGCTCAGGGATGCACGGCCCAGGGCTGACAGTCACAAGGACTTGGGCCCCTGACTCGAGCCGCCCCACCAGGTGTTGGCTCTGGCCTTAGCAACAGCAAACAAACAGTCCCCAAGTGTGGCCTGGTGCTGGCGCTGCTGACACTGAAGGAAAACAAGGTCTGGCCAGCAGTGAAGTCACCTCATGGACAAAGGAAAACAACTGCACTGTCGTCAGCTCGAAGCTACACCAACGTCCCAAAACCGTGGTCCAGCAAAAAGCCTGGATGACAACCTGGGCTCTCCATTCTGGGTTGTGCAACCATTTTCCTGTGAGATTTCTGGAACTCAGTCCCTGAAACCCTCGTTTGTAGACACAGAGAGAACCCTCCAACCGCCAGCCCTTCCCCTTACAGAGATGGAAGGATGGAGGGACAGCAAGTGGCAGGAGGTCCACCCACCCCCGCTGGGCACTTGCCACTCCCCACACGATGAGCTTTGCTCCTTAAGAGTGGGCACAGAGCTCTCTGCAAGTCTGCCTTCTTTCTTGCCCAGGCCTGTCCCCTGTCCTCTAAGTCACTGGCCTCTGAAAGTGGCTCTTCCACAGGAAACCCAAGCACCCCACCGAAAGCCCCAGGCCCCCAGCGTCCTTGGCTGTCCCCTGCCTTGCTAGCTTACCGGGTCTGCTGCTGGTCGGCCTCCGCTCGGCTGGCCTGAAATGAGACAGAAAGCTCCTTGGTCTCCACGAGACACACCTAAGCAGCGACCAGCCCGGGTGGGAGCCGCCTGCCCAACGGCTTTCCCCTCCCCACGTGCTGCCCGGGGAGGAGGCTGACCTGGGCGTCCCGGGCCTGGCCCGCCTCCAGCAGGGCCTCGATGGATCGGATTCTCTCCATGAGCTGGGAGTTTTCCACCCTGGCCTCTGTGAGCTGCCCGTGGAGACCACTCAGCTCCTCACATTTGCTCCTCATCTCTGCTTCAGAGGACTGTAACTTGCTGTGCAGCTCTGTGGCAGGGCGAGGGAACGAGACAGGGTCAGCCGCTGGAAAAGGCCTGGGGTGGGTGCCCTGACCGCTGCCCCCTTGGGACACATGGGACACCAACGGCTCCCTCCCCTGCCTCCTCTGTGTGCCTGGGGGTCTTAAGACATACTTCTGACCATGGGGGCCTCTTACTGGCTGCTGAAGAAAGTGACCCCCCGGTGTCGTTCCTGAGGACCATCAGGGTGGAATGAAATGCCTCAGACCACTCATGAGAAAAAGACAAAGGGTGGAAATGGACTCCAGTTCATATTAGCGGGGACCAGAAATTCTTTAGAAAGTGACTATGTGGCCCCCACTGACCATGCCTCCCCCACCTCCTTGGCTGGGTCCCTCCTCTCCCCGACCTTTCGGTGGTCCTCAAAAGCCACACCAGGGTGTGACTTTCTTCAACAGGGCCTGCCCTGGCCCCCTTCTCCCCTTGAGGTGTCCTCCTCCCCAGGTGGCCTCCATGTGCCTGTGATGCCGTACTCTCCCCCAGGCCTGATCTCGTCCCCAAGGCCTGGCTCTGCCACCTGCCACTTCCAACTGAAGCTCTGATTAGACAACTCGACCCAGCACCCTGGCTCCCCGGGTGCCTCACCCCTGCTGCTCTGTTTTCCTGCCCCCACCTCCTGCCCATCCCTGCACTTCCGTGTCCACCGTCTGTCAGGCCATCCCTGCTTCGCCAGCACTGCTGTGGCGCCTGGGCCTGGCTAACTACAAGAGCCTCACCCTGGTTTCCCCGGGCTACTCCTGCCTTCTGCTCTGTTCTCCCAGCGCCAGGGCACCCGGAAGAGCAGATGAGACCACCTCGTTTTCCCGCCTCAGCACTCCTGTAACGCTTACACAGTGCACAGACTCCTCAGAGGGATGGTGACCGGGGCCCGCCCATCCGGCCCCACATCAGCCACCAACCCTCTCATTCCAGCCACTCTCGTTCACCTCCTGTTTCCTGTACAGGCCAAGTTCACGTTCATTCCTGTCTCAGCGCCCTGCGCTGGCAGGCCCCCGCCACCACTCACCTGCCCCTGCCTCAGAGGCTTCTGCGACCACCCAACCTAAAGCCATGCCTGGAGCAAGCAAGCTGGGGCTCAGGCCTCCCCATACCCATTTTTATAAATGATCCTTTATTCAAACACAGCCAGGCCTGTTTCTTTCCTTGGTGTCTATGGGCACTTTCGCTCACTGTGGGAGATGAGTAGCTGTGACAGAGACCGTCTGGCCCATGAAGCCAGAAGCCATCCACCCCTTCACAGAAACAGTGTGCCAACCCTGCCCTGACTTAAGTCCCTGCAGAGGGCACCACTGTGTGAACCTGTCATTGTGGGTGGCCCTGTGCTATGCTCCTACTGAGCCCAGCATCCATGGCGGTCCCTCAGACATACTGGGGAGGCAGGGACCGTGGAGCTCTCACCAGCACGGTCTGCTCCTTTCTCTAGGGACTCTCCAGGCCCCACCCTCGCCACCCTCCTCTCCACCATCGACTGTGGAGCACAGCGGGACGACAGGCCCCACCTTCCAAACCTGGCTTGGCCTCACAGGCTAACCGAGTTGGGAGAGCAGAAAGGCCCAGAACAGACACAATGTGAGAAGACCAGCTAAGGCCTCAGACCACGTGAGTTCATCCACAGCCACAGGGCTCCATGGGCAGAGAGATGGGACCCAGGCCCGGGGGCAGGTGGTGCCTTCCACCCCGAGCCCCAGCCCTTGCAGGCTGTGCACCTAAGCTCCACCCCCAGCGTCCTGCGCACAGTGGACAGTCTCCTGCCAGCGTGGCTATGCCTCCAGCGGTCTCCTGACAGGACACAATCCTCGCCTGTTCGACTTTCTGAGGGGCAGAGTCAGGGACCTGCACTGCCCTCACTGCAACAGGACTAGCCGATGGGGTTTTGGCCCTGGCAGTGGGGCTGGGACGGTGCACAGATCCTGTACCCTGCACCCTGGGCCCCACCAGGAACAGGGTGCCCCCGAGATGCCACCCTCACCGGCCATCTGCTGCTGCTGCTCCTGGGCCTTCTCAGCGTCCGCCCGGAGGCTGGCGTGGCTGGTCTGTGTGCGGCAGAGTTCCCGGCTGACCTCGTCCAGCCGCTTTTGCAGGGCCTCCTCGCTCTCCTTGTGCGACGCCTGGGGAGGGGTAGAGGAGCATGGCAGTGAGGATGCGGGAGGAGGCTGGGCCTCATGAGCCCTGTGGCTGAGGACAAAGCTCTTTACACCGGCCATCCCACCCCCACCAGAGCCCCGTACAGTCTCTGGTCTGTCTGTGCAAGAAAGGGAACTTCATTGCTTAATGCTCTAGAATCTACGCAAACTTCACCCCAGCCAGCACCCTTTCAAGGAGAGACGGGAGCTGCCAGGGACCTATACCCACTTCCCACTTCTTTTTTGGGTTTCGATATTTTTACACTCTCAAGTGATTCATGAACACGTGCTTATTGCAAGAGTCCAAAGCTACCAATTCAGAGTCAACCAGCAGTTTCCCTGATGTGGCCCTTGATCCCTCCCAGAGGTGGACAGTCTGGCGGCCTCCCGCCTGCAGCTGTATGCGTTACACGTGCACAGGCACACGATTAAGATCACTCCCATGGCAGTTCTCTTAGTGCTTTCACTTAATGTTAGGTTGAACCACATGAAATTGCCAGGGTTCCACTATTTTTTGACGTACAAAAATGGCAATTTCGTACGGTTCAACAGTCGTTTGGAGACATTTCCACATCACTACAGCTAAGTTTACGTCATCCTAGTTTAAGAGCCACGCAGAGCTTTGATGTGCCCAATGTTTGCCCCATTCCCTGCTCAGCATCAGGCAGGCTACTCTCAATCGCCGGCAGTCCAAACCAGTGCTCCAATGGACACCCCAATCTGTGCATTAAGGACTCCCCCACACTGGGTTCCTGAAGCAGAAATGCTGCCCGAGGCTCCACTTAACCAGCCCTTTGGAGAACCAGATCACTGACTGTTTAATTAACAAGCTTGTCTGGGAGCAGGACCAGGTGAGGGGGCAGTCAACAAATGACTCTTGTTGACTAAAATGAGACTCTAAGGTCATCCCTCAACCCCTTTACCAAGCTGCTATCATCCATATCCCAGTTTTTGTTCTATTTTAAGGCCATGGTTACATAACCTGGTGCTAGTCCACCTGGGCAGAGGCAGGTCTGGAGCCAGGGGAGCCACTGCTAAGGATGAACCCACCAGGCCATGGATAAACGTGGACCGTGCAGTAGAAAACCAGGGCAGCTTTAGGATGGGCAATGTTTTCTGCATTAGAATGTAGCAGCGGATCTGTTCACTTCCAACTCCAAGGGAGGAACGAGAGGAAGGAGGGACTGCAAGCCGCTCTCCAGAGAGCAGACCCGCTTCTCCTTGACACAGCACCCTGGCAGGAACCTGCCTCCCTCCTGCTGGCTCCAACACCCTCATGTCTCTGCCTTGACTGAGATACACAGAGCAGAGTCATTTTACAACTGGAAAAAACCACCACCAGCTTCTTCCTCTTCTTTCTTTGAGAAAAGGGATTCCAGCTCAGACTGCAGAGAGACTGACGGCACATGTTTTTCCATTCATTACTGACACTGATTAGAACACTGGTTCCAGCAACAGTCAAACAAGAACCCATCCACCTTTAGGAACCAAAAATCTTAAAATCTTTAATGGAAACCACGTGCATACGCCTTTCTTAAGATCTGAGATGACAACTCTCTTTGCCTGGAAGGAGAATGTGGTTAGCAACAGCCAATCACACTGACCACCTTCAGAAGCTGGTCCCGCGGCTGGGCAGGCCAGCTGGGGACTTTTATAAAACCCTCCTGGATTTCTAAAACTCAGTCCATCTGGATGCTGTTAGCCCTCAATGGGTACTTTCTTCCAGGCAGGCCCCGACAAGCCAGCCATGGCAAGACAGGCAGGGGGGTGGGCGGTATCCGCTCCCTGATGCCAACGCTCCAGGACCCAAGGTCAGCACAGGAGGCCATGCCTGCCCTGGTCCCTCAAGAGCTGGCTCACAGGAAAGGGGCCTCCAGTAAAGGAAGGACAGTCACAAAACAGAGCCCCATTTTCACCTCAGCAGAACACAGAGAGACACTCACTACAACCTAAACCACCAGTCTAACTTGGAGATTTCCTGAATGGGACTTTGTAAAGTTCATACTCATTGAGCTCTTTTGCTGCAAGGCACTGTTTTAGTCCTAGACACTCTGTATATCAGCACAGCTAATCTCCACAACCACTCTGTGGGACAACTACTACTGTCCTACCCATAGTACGCATGGGGAAACTGAGGCTCTGAGATAACTTGCTAGGTGGCGGCATAGCTAGGACCTGAACCTGGCAGCTGACACCAGGAGCTTCACTGTCAGTCACCCCAGGCACAGAATCTTTGGTGTCAGACTGGAAAGCATGGATCCCTCTGTCCAGCCCCAGGCTGTGGACAAGGACTCCAAGACCTGGAGAGGATGGGAGATGCTGGGAGTCTGTGGCTTATTGGTGAGAACCAGGGCCAGGCCTCTGCCCCAGGCTGGACCCTTTGTAGGAATGACACATCATGCTGAGAATCTGAGTGGGAGGGCAGCAGTTCCAGCTCCAGATACATCAGAAGCATCTGGGAGCCCTTAAAACATAAGCAGGGCCAGGCCCACCCCAAAGTTCTGATCTCACTGGGCTGGGTGGGCCTGCTTTACATGAAAATCAGAAATACCAAGTTACCCATCTCGATTTCTCCCAAAATCAAACCACGTTTATTGTCCACATTCTTTTTCAGTCCCCTGTACACATTTAAACATCACTCTTCCAATTTAATGTCTCATTCTAGTTCCTTCCAAGAGACAGCTGCGATTCCCCCACGCACAGCAGCCTGATTTCCATGACAGAGCAGAAGGGTCCAAAGCCCTTCAGCTTACCAGGATTTCCTCATTTTCTAGGAAAGTTAAGCCCAAAGCCTTGATGTCACATCAAGGCTCCTCATGCCTGACGGGGCTGCCCCAGACAACCTGTCCCAACACAGGCCTGCAGAGGGATTGGAAATCACTGGCAGGCAGGTGGCAAGGCTCCTGGGCTGAGGAAATCATGTGGACTTTGGGGACAGGGGACAATCTTTCTCCCTCTGAAGGAGAATGGGCATCCACCTGGGAAAATGGGCTTCTAGGACACACCCAGAGGCCGAGAAAGAAAACCCACCTGTCCTTGGGGCCGCAGGCTGCCGTCTGTGGCCGCTTAGCCCGGCTGGCTACTCCGGAGCTGCCGTACCACACGGTGGCAAGCATGGGAGACAAATGGCTCTGGAGCTAGACTCAGGGGATTCAAATCCTGCCTTTGCCACACACTGGCTGTGTGAACTTGGGAGAGCTGCTTAACTTCTCTGTGCCTCAAACTCCCTTATGGGTAAAATGCAGACTCCCAGCGCCTCCCTCTTTAGGGTTTCAATGAGGTTGAGCTGAATTAATGCTTGTAAAATGCTCACAACAGTGCCTAGCACACAGAAAGCACCCAGCGGTGTTAGCTATCGCTACTACTGAGACTAAGGCGGCAGGTTCGAGCCCTGGCTGCGCCTACATCTCCAGTGGTCAGTCTTTGCTGGAAGGGGATGCCCAGTGTGGCTGGGCCAGCCCTGGTCCATACCTGCCACACAGACAGGCTTGGTGAGCAGTGAACGGGGCACTGAGATGGCCACCCCAACTCACCTGCAGCTGCAGGACCTGTTTCTCGAAGGCAGCTGTCTTGGCTTCCAGAGCCTTCCGCTGCTGCTCCTCCTGCCGTGCCGCCTCCGACTTCTCCACCAGCTCCTTGCTGACCTTGCTGAGCTCCTGCCGGAGCTTGGCCAGCTCCGCATTCTGCCTGCAAGACAGTCACCAGACCATGACTGAAGGACAGAAAAGGGTGATGGGGATTGGTGGTCTGAACCTTCCCTCTGGGAAACTGGCTCTTTAACAAGCAGTCACCCAAGTCTTGGAGACATTACCAAAGCCCCTATTGGGTGGGGTTTGGTGTGTGTCTTGCTGAGCCATCGTTTTACCCACACGGCACATGGACCAGGGAGAGCAAGAGTAAAGCATGCTCTAAAGATCCTCCCAGAAATCGCTGGAAATTCAGACAGAAAAAGGCAAGACACTGCTCTCCTCATTGCTGATCTGCGTGTGAACAAGCCCAGGGTGCAGGCCGGCTCGCCTTGACCCCTGCAGACCTGAGGGCAGCAGTCCACGCGAGATCCCCCAAGGATCCTCTTGCCCCTTTCTCTGGCCCACAGCCAGGCTGGGGGAAGCGGCCTGAAGCCAGAGCCTGAGTGAGGCACTTACGGAGCAGACCCTTCAACACTGCACGTCAAAAGCTGGGTCTCAGGACCTGGGGGGAATGTTTCAGAGTTACAGAAGGAGATTTGATTCAAAGAGAAAGAGGGCAGATGGAGACCTGCCTTTTCCAGTGTGAGGGGTGTACTCAGGATGCCGGCTCCTTCGCTACCAGCCACCGCCTCCAGGTAGAGGACTGACTGTCCAGCCAAGGGACATCGCCAGACAAGACTAAGGGGACAGATAGGACTGGAGGGCAGCACCGGGCCTGGAGGAGGTGGGAAACCTGGCCAGTTCTGCGCCAGTGGCTGGGGGGTGGTGAGTCCCACCTCTGACTTGGGGTGTCTCGTCTGCACTGGGGAGGCTGCACCCAAGCCTCTGCGGCACCCTTAGCACACGCGCTTCACAGTGCCAAGGTCAGGAGACCTGGGGTGGAGGTGAGGGCCGGGTGGGCGGCCCCCTTGGGACTGATGTGGAGATGAGAGGGACGCATCCTGCTGCTGAGCACCCACACCAGGCGGAGCTTCCAGACTAAGAGTCAGGTCCACCACTCAGGGTGACAAGTCTCCAGGCTTTAGAGCTTTTCCCAGGAAGGAGGCCACAGCAGATTTTCTGTGAGAGGGGAGGCCAGAGCGTTCATCAGTCCCCACGTTCACCTTCTGCTGTGGCTATTGAGGAAACGGCAGCCACAAACCTCCAACTGGCCTGCCAACGGGTCGGGAAGCGGATGGAGATGTGTGCACACGCACACCCACACACCCAGAGGGGACCTCGACAGAAGGGACCAGCCAGCCGAAGGTGGCCATTAGATCTCGCTCCATGCCAGGGGCGGGGCCACCTGCCAAAACAGACATGTGGCCCAGACTCCCCTCCCAGCCCAGCTCCTGAGCTGGGGTTCTCCCAACCCCTCCCAGCCCCAGGACTCAGGGTGCTGGCACGCTCTGTTTAGTCAGCTCCTCTCCCGGAAAGAGCAGACGCTTTGGGGGTAACACAGAACCCCCAGATGCCCCTCCTAGGCACTTCAGGCACACAGAAGGCAAAGAACTGTGCGTGGAAAGACAATGCAGTGGGCTTCTTGAGGGCCAGACTACCGAGTCTGTAACACAGGACTCATGGAGGCAGAAGCAGCACAGCAGCTGTGCTCAGCTCTAGAGGGAAGCGTGGCCGAGTCAGCTGGCTCACCGTGGACTCCAGCGCGTCAGCTACGCAGAGGCAACAGTGAGACAGAGAACTCTGGGAAACGCTCCCTAATACCAGTGCATCAGAAGCCAGGGCCCCTCCAGAACAGGAGACTTGTGGCAGATTCCTACACCTCCTTTACTAAACTCCCATCGTGGATGAACTGCGGGGCCTCAATACTCTGGGCCACCACCAGGAGTGTTCAAAAGGCTCCCACTGGGATGCTGTGGTGACAGGCGTGGGGAAAGTATCGCTCTTCAGGAAGGCAAGATGCCAGCACCAGCTAGAACCTGAGGGACACCTGGTCCCACTGATACCAGGCATGTTGGCAAGGGCAGGTTGCAGGCTGGGGCACAGTGGCTCTGCCTGAGGCCTTCGCCACCTGACACACTAGGACACCTGTCAGAAGACCCAGCTGCTCAGAACCCGGACAGAAGATGGAGAGTCAGGACGGGGCGCTGCTCAGGGAGGGGTGGAGCTGCACAGGCAGCCCTGTGCACACGAGTGCAGGGCCCGGACACGGCTGCTGCACCAGCTGCATCTGCTGCAGCCTCGTGGAGCCCTCCCTGGCTCTGGAGCCCCTGCCACTGTGTCCCAGTGGAAACACTCAAGCTTACTTGCTCTCCACCTGGCTCGTGGCCTGGTTCAGGGCGTCCCTCAGGATGGAGTTCTCCTGCTGCAGACGGGCCAGCTGAGTGTTGGGGCCGTTCTCCAGCTGCTCCTGCAGAGTCCGGATCTGAAAAGTCATGGATAAGGGCATCAGAGTGCTGCTCAGCCTTATAAGGAGAACTGATTTCCGGGCCAGAGTTAGCGAGGCCACAGCCCACAAGAGAAAACCCCCAGGAGGCTCCACCTTCTTTGCATAGACGGTGGGAGGATCCCATGAAACAAGAGGCCTGCAAATCGCACAGCTCTAGCATCAGGGGCTCGAGGCCAAGTGTGACCCCCAGGGACACACCTCTATCCTTTCTCACTGCTCATGGCCTGCCCTTGGCTGAGCATTCAGTCCATAGCCTTGACATGCTTCGTACACGTTGGCCCCCAAGGTCACATGGTTGACTGCTCTGAGATACAGCACAGGACCACAAGCCACAGCCTATCACCATTCGAAGAAGCCTCATTTCCTGCCCTCTGAGCCCCCACGGCACATCCTGAGATGTGTGGTGGGGAGGAGGCCACGGCCCTGATGAGCAGGGCAGGTGCCAGAAGATAGGAATCAGGCTCTGACTGAGGGCCAGTCTGGGCAGGTGGCCGCCCGGTGCTGGCCTCAGGCCCCATGCTTGAGTCACATGATTTCAGGCCTCTTATTTTATGGGATCCTCCCAACCATGTGGGGAGGAGGAAACAGCATTACTCCAGGTTCACGCGGAGGCTGAGAACTTGACCCACAGGCACCCAGGAGTGGCCACTTGAGGCTAGGTGCTTCTGAAGAATTGGTTTTTAATATGCATTTTACACCTTCCTGGTGACTAACATTAAACACACACACAATGGGCTGCCAGACACTGTCCAGCCAAATGCGATAGCCCCAGCCCCTCCCAAAGCTAACCAGAGCCTACAGACCCCCGTGGACATCCTCAAGCCCCTCCTCGCGCCTCGCCACTGGCCTCCCTGGCTCCTCAGTCCTGGCCGGGACCCACCTTGCCCTGCAGCTGCTGCACCTCCTTCACGTGCTCCCGGTAGCTGGCCTGCATGCGCGTCTGCACAGCCGTGATCTCCTGCTCCCGCGCCACCAGCTGCTTTTTCACCTTGGCCTCCACGGCTGCTGCCTTGGCTTTTTCTGCAGCCATCTCCTGGGAGGAAAACAGAGAGAGTGGCTCGTCAGACAGGTGGGGGTGGGAGCGGGAGCAGGAGCGGATCAGAAGGGACCAAGAGCGTGACCAGGGCTGGGAGGAGGCCTGAGAGTAGAGCACAGACCCCTCCTGCCGGCCGAGTTCTCAGACTCACACCAGCCACAGCAGGAGCACTGACGCCAGGACTCCCCCAAAACCCCCGCTGGCCCTGGCCGGTATGGGCCTGATGTTAGGCCTTGACCACAGGGGAGGCAGCAGACATAGCAGGAGCTGTGAAGACATGTCACACTGTCCCTGGCTCTCCAGGGGCAATGGCTCAGTCCTGCTATGATGACAACACCCTGGTCTGGCTCAGCTATGAACAACCAGGCCCTGGGGACACCACTTCTACTCAAATGCCTTTGTCAAGACTGACAAGGTGGAGACCCTTGATGGCTAGGGTGGGGACAGGGACAGCTGCCCATCCTGCCATGTCTGGGTTTCCGTGGGCAGTCGTTCTGTCCTCCACCCCAGCCCAGGGGGACATCTGCTCTGGTCAATGCAGGATGAACACAGAAAGCTGAGTCTAAGGACCCAGTGCCTCAGGCAGGGGCAGAGCACAGGCTGAGGAGGGCTGGCCACGGCCTGTGCATCCCAGAGGATGGCAATGGACAGAGGTCACGGGGAAGCAGGGGTGGCAACTCGAGAACACTCAGCACAATGAGCGCCAGGGTGGGCACTCTCTGTCCAGTGGGCCTCTGGCCAGATCAGTCACCTGCCTGGTGTGAATACATACTGCAGACACAGCTGGCCTGGCAACCAAGGAGTCAAGGCCCTGCCCCTTCCCTGTCCTGGGCAGTGGGCCAGAGCAGTGGGAAAATATTCACCCTCCCCAGACCAGGGCTGCCAGGGAAGCCCATGCCAAAGGCCAGACTGTCCCTCCTACCTGAGATGGGAGAGAACCCCGGGGAGGGGCTGGACTGATCGGGTGGCCCCCGGGTACCAGTGCTGTCGTTTGCCTGGCACTCCCTGGAACCCCCAGAACCCACCGGCCTCCCTTTTCAAAGGCAATCATCTTTTTGGCTCTGCCCAGGGTGAGAGGCCCGCGGGAGCCTGCAGGTCCACTTCAATGATTAGCTGCACGAGTAGAAGGGGTAGCTGACATGTGCGTTCACTCAGGGACAAGCACTGTCCCATTTAGTTCTCTCAGTAAGATGAGGATTATGAGCCCCATTTCAAGCTGAGGTCACTGAGCCTTGGTGGGACATTCTTATCCAAGGCGGGGGAGCAGCTCTAAGTGGGAGGGGTGGGGACTGTGCAAGCCCAAGAGGTCCAGAAGGGGAGGAAATATGACACGCACTCCTTAGTCCCGGCCAGGAAGCCTCTAGTGAAGGAAAGGACGACTCAGCGGAATCCAGGGCTCCTCTGTGCTTTCTCCTCTAAAACACAGCCCTGCCAGCCCACTGCTGGCCAAACAGGTGTGGTGGGGATGGCCCGAGGCCTCTAAAGGCCAGCAAAGCAGGTGGCCCTGCTCTCTGCGGGGTTTCCGATTCAACAGCCCCTTAAAATAGACAGTTCAGTCGTGGGAAGAAGAAACCAAAGTTCATAAACACCCCAGTATTCCCACAGCCACCAAAATGGCAGGTGTGAAAGCCACACACAGGTCATCCTCCCCCGACCTCTGCACCTGGGGGACACTCTTCCCAGCTCTGGCAAGGCCCTGTGCAGTTCCGGGAATCCACGAGGCTCAGGGTGTGCCGGTTCCTATCTCCTGGGGGTCAGGATCCCAAGGCCACCATAATTCAATGGCATATTCCCCCTTCCTCTGCCTCTGGGCTTTTTTATAAGGCAGAGAAAAGCCACCTTGTCCTCACTGCATTCATTTAACTCTCTGTGGTTTCCTTTTCTTGGAAGACCTCAGAATCCCAGGGTTCCTCAGTCAAATTCTTAATTCAGTTGCAAGGGTCACATTTATTGTCTTGAAAAGCATTCCTGGTGGTGGTAGGTGGGGTGGGGGCTCCACTTGGGGCCGAGTCCTTTCCGCCTGGGCTGGGGATGAGGTTGGCAGCATCACCTGGCACCTGGCTCAGAGATGACTGTTCGCTCTTTCCTCCGGGCGCTGTTCCCCAGGCCTAGTGGGGCCCCGTGTGGTGTGACCCTCCAGCCCCAAGCAAGGGCTGGCTGGCTGGCTGGCTGGCTGAGGCCTGGACAGGAAGCGGCTTCCACGAAGAAGGCCTGGCAACAGGAAGTCTTCCCATGGCCTCTACCCCAGAAGCACACCTGCCGAGGGGCCCAGAGGCCCTGGCACTCCTTAACCACGCTCGGATTCAGAGCCCACTCTCCTCCCAGGCCCTCAAGCCCAAGCATCAGACTGAGCCCAGGATGGGTCTAGTCTGGAGCATGGCTTCAGGACAGAGGCCCTGGCAACTGGGTCCATGGTACTCAGGAGGACGACAGCTAGAAAGGTTTTCCAGAAGGATGTGCCTTCTTGGCTCATCGCTGGAGCTCTGCCCGAATTCCTCAGACCCATGCACCAGGCCCTGAAGACTCTCAGAGGGCCAGGATGGAGTCTCCAGGGGTGGCCGAGCCCATCGACTCCTGCAGACAGTACCTGGACTTGTCCTTGAACCTAGCTCCGCTGGGACTTCGTACACTCGGGAGGCAGGAATCTGGCCGACCATCCTAACGTTCTCAGTGCATCCAGATCATGCCTTAAGCATCAGACCCCAAGAAACGGAATTAAACAAAACCCTTCTTTTCAACTACAAAACTTCTCTACGAGGACAAAGAAAGCATGGAAGGGACTAGAACACGAAATGTAGGTGCTATCGATCACACCTGTGGGGGATTAAGGTAAGACAAATGTCTACATTCTCAGTAATTCATTTTCTCACATAATTTCCCTCAAATGTGTTGGACTGGGGGATGTGACATAGAATGAAGGAAACATGTCAGCTCTGCTCAGGACTCTTAACAGAGAGCCACTGAGACCCAAAGTCCATAAATTCCAAAAGCAAATGCGTAAACTACATTTAACCATTTCCAAGAGGAAGACAAAAATGCCAGTGAAGGATTCCTCTCAGCTGCCAGCCAGCCTGGGCCTCGGGAGCCCCTTGCTCCCAGGTTGCCAGAGTGTTTGCTCTCCAGGACTCAGGCTAACAGGAGCCGGATGCAGAATGGGATGCCTCATTGTAACAGTGATCTCTGCTCTGGAAGGCTCCTGAGGGAGATCAAATTGTGTCTTCAAGGATAAGAAGATTTCCAGAAAGCCAAACAGGGAACAGCATTTGAAGCCAAGGAAAGACCAGAGTGCAGCATGTCCGGGGGCAGGTGGGTGCGGCAAGATGCTGAGGCCAGAGGGGGTCGGGTGGCTGAGGTGGTGCTTGGGCACACCTGGGTCTGAAGATCAGGAGCCACGGGCAGAGCTTAAAGGGGGTCCCCAAAGGACCAGATCAGCATTTGAGAGCCCAAGAGGACCTCTGCGGGCTGCAGGGAAGAGGATGTGGCTGGGGAGGGAGGGCTATGGCTGGACGCACCGTTAAACTCCTCACCTGAGAGCCAAGGCCTGGAGCTCTCCAGGGAGGGCAAGCTGGGTAACAAGAACCAAAGGCTGCCCTGAGCTCACAGCCAGGGAGACATTTTACTGGCCCAACCCGGGAAGGGCTGGACCTAGTGGGGTGTCTGGGTTTTGGAAATTGTGTCACACAGCCACTGCTGAGGAAGGGCTTGGGCACACAGTGACCAGCATCAGGGGTCTCCTTCTGGAGGGGAGTCCCTCCCTCAACCTGCCACCCTGCCCTGGGTGGACGGAGACCCAGCCGGCTCCTGGGGGTGGGAGGGCTCTGATTTGAAGTACTTGCCAATTTCTGTGGTGTAAATACTCTCCCTGGCCTACACCTCACTCCCAGTGTGACATTCCTGAGCACAGTCGCATGCACTGCACAACTGGCTCTTGTGAGGCAGGGCAAGCGGTTCTAGCCACCCTGCATTGAAACAATAGCCCAGGACGGCTCAAGTGAAGGCATGTGTGGACACATCTTAGGAGATAAGACAGAAGCCCACAGAAGGCCACTGAGCTCTACGGAAGGCCCCTGGAGCTTGTCATCTTTTCTGCTCCTGGGCATAACATTTATGGAGTAAGCACCCACAGGCTTGTCTTTTGCTCCTGCCTGCCCCCCACCCCGTGAACTTCCCATCTGGCTCAGAGCAGGGACCCTGAATTTAGGACAGAAAGTCAGCCTGCCTCATTTCCAATTCTTCGTGAACAAGCAGACAGAAGTGCCCAGAGGAAGGGCTGTAGCCAAGACGTTGTCAGACTCCCCTCAGCCCAGGCCCTCTCCTGGCTTCCGCTGCCCGGGGTAGAGGGCAAGAGCAGGCCTGCAGTGTGTGCAGGGCAAGAACGGCTCTCACCTGGGTGCAACTAGCCCCAACTAGCCCCCGTGGGGCCAGGATCCCCTGCCCTTCCCTTCTTTGGGGAAGGCTGGGGCCCCAGGACTCATCCTCAGACACAAGAGAGGCAGGGAGAGAGCCCGCGAACTTGGCGGGGGAGAGCAGCCCCCTGTGCCACAGATCCTGACGCATCCTGCACAATATCCCCAGCCCCATCCAGTGGCAAAATGAACGCCACCAACTGTCACTCAGACAAATCTACCTGCCATGCTGTCAGCTGATGCTAAGGGGCCACAGATTCCCTGCATATCCCTCCTCTGACATCAGGAAAAGCAGCCCCTTTAGCCCCTTTCCCACATGATTTTGCCACAATTCCCCAGAAAACAAGCTTGGGTCAACTGTGCCCATCCCCTACAAAGGTGGCCCATTGCATGGGACGGTCCGTGAAAGCCAGTTCTGGTCCATCCACTCCACAAACTGAGGCCCCCAACACCCTGCTTAACTTCCCTGTGTTCTTAGAGCCATGAGGAAGGAAGCCACCAGCCCCGCAGAGCCACACAGGCTGCCGAGGGTGAGCGGCTGGCCCACAGGCTCCCCAGACAGCAGATGACCTGCAGTCACGTCACTTGTTGGTTTGATAACCAGCTCCGTGCCAGGCAGGCCCGGAGCCATTTCAGGGCCAACCCCAGGATGCAATGATCCAGGGACAGCAATGGCCGTGGGCCCCGGGGGTGGGGGTCTTCACAGGACAGCGGGGTGAGGAGCTGCCTCCGCGCGCATGTGCCTGCTCGGGCTGTACCTTGTTGAGCTCCCGGAGCTTGCTCTTGGCCACAGCCGCGTCTTCCTGCTCTGTGGCCAGCAGCTTTTCCTTCTCTTCCAGCTGGCGTTTCAGAATTGCCACAGGGTCACCCTTCTGAGTCGCCTAGAAATGCCCACAGAGATTCATTAACAGAAGCGGGGGGACAGGTGGGGCTCATCCTCCTCCACCCCAGTCATCAAGACAAGAGCTGAGCCCCAGCGCCTGATGAAGCAGGAACAGGGCTGAGCCGAGTGGGCTCCACCAACTCCAGACTCTTGTCGGAAAAAGGCGGCCCTACCTCAGCTCCTCAGGCAACTGGGCCCAGTATGTGTAGGCACCGTTGGGGCCAAAGGCTGTGGATCCCTGGGGTCATGTTTAGGAATGTGGCATGTCCAGCCCCTCCGAGGTGCAGTTGGCCATCACTTCCGGCTTGGAGCCCGCCCCTGATCCAGTGTCTACAGACTGTAGGCCGCTGGCTGGAACATGGAGGCCAGGCCAGGGGCACTGTACTCTGGGGACAGTGGCCTGAGCTGAGCCAGGCCTCCCTCATGGTCGTCCTGACCTCCTCTGGCCACTTATGGCCAGGAGACCCCCAGTGCTCACCGAGCAGGTGCTCTCAGAACCGCTGAGATGTGTATCACACCCCAGTAATGGCCAGGAGGGCGGTAACTTCAGGGGCCTCAGGGGAGGGGCCCCCAGCCTGGCTCTCTGGACACAGCCCAACATCTCTAACCACTAAATTCTCCAGCAAAATTACCCAGCATCCTGACTCCAGTTAAGGAACAGATACATGCCATGCAGTGTTTCTTGGGGACAGTTTGCTGGCCAGAGGCACCGGAGGGTAGAAGCGAGCCCCTGAAACTGCCCGACAGCGCAAGGGGTATCAGGGTGCTCATCGCAGGTTCCCTCGCACACCTTCCTTTCCACACTCAACTACGGCCACAAACCTGCTGGGCCTCCGCTGCTGTGTTCTGCCCCCAGTACCCTCCTGCAATGCACAGGCTCCCTGCCCCTAAGAGCCTTCCTATCTCAGTGGCTGGGCCATGGCTGGACTGGCAGAAGCCACAGCATTCGTAGGTGACCCATGTAGCCAAAGCCAGGTAGGGGGAATAGGGGGGAAGATTCTTCCAGGAAAGAGCAGAGAAGGCTGTTTGATGAATGCTCTCTGCCGCTTGGTCAGCTGGCTGTGGCCAGCCTAATGGGAATCTCCTGGGGGTAGGGGCAGGACCCAGGCAACCCCTGCGGCTCACTGGCCCCGAGGGGAAGAAGAGGAGGGAAGGACAAAACTGCCCTGGCCAGTGCAGCGGCCTCGGCCTCGGGATGTGGCCAGCGGGAGGGTGGGCCCACCTTATGCCAGGTGTCCTGAATGATGCCAGCCTTCTCAGACAGGATCTCGATGAGCCGCTGGGCCTCTCCCTCGTTGAACACCATGCTCCCAACCGTGGAGACCAGTGTCTTGTAGGGGAGGCAGAGAGGGCTGTCAGAATCTGGGGGCCCTGTGCAGCAAGAAAGAAGGAGCAGAGACTCACACGCAAGCAAAAAAATGACAGACATAGCAACAAAGCCCATCACGCCAAGGAGAACTCTGCCAAGGAGAACTCGGTTGCACTGCCGGGGGCACTGGCTGGGCACAGGGAGCGTGCTCTGCATGTCTCTTGCTCTTTCAGGGCACTGCAAAATTGATCGAACAATGGGCCCTCGCACCATCCTCCTAATTTGCCCAAATAAAGTCCAAGCCCGGGCTAGGAGTAACATCCCTCATTTATCATTAAGACGACCCTGAGCAGAATTAAGCAAGGCACACTCTTCCCACAGGTTTTTCCTTCCTTCTTTTTCCAGCAAATGCCTTGGTCTCATTCTTGCCCTGCACAGCAAGGTTCTCCCACTCACCCGTGACCAAGCCCCCTGGCCCTATGATCCTGACTGACCAGCAAATCCACAGTCCACCACACACACAGATGCCCACAGCCAGGCACCTGTGACCCTGGGAGGGCATGGAGGGCACAGGGGGCTGCTTCCCCATACCTGGCTCAAACCCTCCATCTCTGACCCTCCCTGAAGGAAGTTCAAGCAGTGACAGGCTGCGGAAGAGGGAAGCTGGGCCTCCAGAACGGGCCTGTCCACTCACCAGTCCATGAGTGACATACCGCCTGGAGGACACAGAGCCATCTGCCAACAACCGTCACTTCTGAAAAACTAGAACTGCCAACCCCCTCCTACCTTGCACACAATTTTGCTCTCATTGCAGCAAGAAAGGGTGAACTGAGACACCTCACCCAAATGTCTGGGCACTTCCTTCAGCTGGGGCTGGGATCTACCCCACTGCTGAATGACAGGGTCAAGAATGAGCCGAAACAAAGAGCGCAGCCCGGCCTGCAGCGGCACCCTCTGCCAAGCCCACCTTGGGAAGACATGGATGGGGACGGTTTCCATAGCAACTCTGGATTCTCTGGCTTGTCACAATATTTATACTTACTAGTCACAATATTTTCATTACAAGTCAAAGCATTTAGCATGATACCTTACTAAGGGGAATGGTGGGACGTGGGCGAGCTGGTTGCTATGAGCACCTTTATTTTATAATAAGTTCTTACCTTGGCAAAGCTCGAGAGATTAAAAATAACCACATCCACACAGGGCGGCCCAAGAGCTCGCGGGAGCCACGGAACTGAGTCCTGGGGGCGCATGCCCCTTCAGTCTTTCTTTGTATCAAAATATGTTTGTGTATATAAAATAATTTTAACGGTAAACTTATGTACCCTAGAGAAAATTCTGAGTATAGCCAAGCCGAAAGAAAATAACCCCTCAGGAGGCTCCCTCTTGGGAGAAACCCCACTGCCCACCGCGTGCGCGCTTACAGCCAGCACTTTCCAGGAAGAGAGAGACCAGCGCCTTGAAAGCCACCATTCGAGTCACAGACTGAGCAGGGCAGCTCCTTAGCCTGCGTCCGACTCACAGCTATAGGACATTTTCCTCTCCTGGCTCAGAAAGGTCTGCTGCTGCACCATCCGATGCGCTGGCCACCAGCCACATGTAGCTACTGACGACCTGTAAGGTGGCTAGTGTGACTTGAGATGTGCTATAAGTGGAAAGTACACATGGGATTTCGAAGACTTGGTATGAAAAAAAATAAAATACCTGTAATAATTTTATATATTCACTGCATGCTGAAATGGTAACATTTTGGATAAACTGGGTTAAATGAAATTTATCACTAAAATTCAGTCCATTTGTTTCTTGTTTGTCTTTTTTAATGTGGCTACCTAGGAACATTTAATCATACATGTGGCTCACATGTGCAGCTCGCGTTGTATTTCTCCCAGACTGGCTGGTCTGCTCCTTTCTGGCCCTGGGGACCCCCAAAGCACCCCCTGCTGAAATTCTGGCAGCCCCGTCCCCGCAGGGGCCCCAGGGTGATCGAGAGTCTAGCGTCTCTGAAAGCTTCTCCTTGAAGACTCTTACTGCACTGTAAAGAGGGAAACATCTGGATAACACAGCTGGAGGACACTTAGCTAGTGAAGGAAGAATCCGCCGCTACTCCTACACAGGCGTCGGCCTGGCCACACGGCCCCTCCTGCACACGCTGTCCACGGAGTGAGAGTGCTCTGTGGGAGCACTGAGGGACACTCCAATAAATCTTCACTAAAATGTTCTAATGTAATCACTAATATATTAAATTTTATTGCATATTTTAACAAAGTAATAAAAACTTGCAACAAGTAAAACAAACGCAAAGCTATGACAGCAAAATTTAACACTTTCTTCTGTGCTCTACCCCCCTACAGAAACTTTCACAGCCTTCTCCATGCTCATAAATTGAATTATTTTCAGAGAGCCATAACTTTACAAAACACTTCTCATTAAATCTTTTAGGTAGGAACCATGCCATCTCTAGTCTCCCCAAATCAAGGGCAGTAAAGCTGAAAGAAAGAAGAAATGTACGTGGAAGTAGGAACCAAAATTCCTGGGCCCCTGGAAGTCGCGTTTAAATAATGTATTGACGAGAGCCAATATGTGCTGCCACGTCGCTCATGTCTCCAGCAAATACCTGAAGACTCCAGGAATTCTTGGTATTGTGAAATCTTAAGACACTAAATCTGTCAAAGACTCAACTTCTAGACTTCAAAAAGACCACAGGGCAGCGAATCCTACATGACACCGGCACACTGAGGGGCTGCCCTGCGGACAATGCTTTCCCTGTTTTGATGGGTCTAAATATCAGGAAGAGGCAGGCCCAGAGGCCTGGGAAGGAACAAAGGGGCAGGACAGTACAGAGTGGAGACACAGCCAGTGTCTCACCATGATGGCATCATCCAAAGCCCTGTCTGGCAGGGCATACAGTGACACCCCAGGGGCTAGAGACCCTACAGGGATGGGACAGGTGCTATGACATGACCACAGTGGCCTGGGCTCAGAGGGTAGCCTCTCCTGAGCTGGGTGTCCCTGGGCATGTTACGGTACCTCCAGGTGACAGTTTCCATGGCGGAATCTGGGCCAGAACCCTCAGGACTGCTGGCTTGTCCGAGAGACTGGAAATGAGATTTTTATATACCATCTCCTCAACTAACTCAATAACAACTAAATAAATGAGTAAAACCACTGTACAGATGAAAGCACACATCTGTGGGCCAGATCCAGTGTGTAGTCACTTCTGTCCTTGGGTAAGCAAGGCCTCTGGAATCCCAGCTCAGCTCCTTCCCACCTGTGTGCCCTGGACAGGTGGCTTACCCTACTCTTGCCTCTACTTTCTCACCTGTGGAACGGAGATGATAACCGCTCCTCATTCACGGCCTGGCTGCAAAGATTAAGTTGCAACATGCTTGGAAAAATGCCTGGCACGAGGCAAAGCACTGCAAAATAAATCAACAGGACCAGCCTTCCAGGCCTGGCCAGGGGAGAATCCCAGACCCTGCCCCCCATGTCCCCTCAATAGAGCAACTCTGCCCTCTCTCTGCTCTCACTGGTGGAATGGAAAAGTCACACAAAGGTGGCCCTCGGAAGCTGGCCCCTCCAAGGACAAACCTGTCCAGGGAGATGGCTGGGACAGAGCACCACAGCCTGGGCACCCTCTTGCTCCTGCCTGGAGCCACTGTCCTCACTCGAAATGCTGAAGGGGCAGCACTTTAGGTAAGAGGAGCCCTCTGCCTCCCAGGGATCTCAGCCAAGCAGCACACAGGTGCTCAGCCGAAGTGCAAAACACCTCAAATTTCAAAATGACTCTCCCTTCTGCGACCACGCCAAAAAGCTTTATCACCTAAAATTAAACTCGTCTCACTCACATGCGGCACTTAGGAGTCTCTTTTTCCCTCACTGTCAGCCATGGGGTCCTTTAGGGAAACTTTTTCTGCATAATTTCCAAGGTTTCCAATGGCGGGGTCTCAACCGGAGGACGAGGGGCTCAACCACAAGGGGACTCAGGAGACTTAGCACCCCCAGCATCCAGCCCCTGGAATGCTCCTGCACTGCTCACACCTGCTCATGCAGCCAACAGAGAGGGTGGCAAAACTCCCGTAGGAACTGCCTCTGGAGCCCGCAACAGCTCATGGCTATTACCTGGGCCCTGGGATGGGGCTGACAAAAGGTGCCCAGCACTCCTGCCCAGGGTGGGCCGGTCCAGACACAAACTACGTACCTACTATGTACCTGGCAGTCTAAAATGCGAGACCTGGAAAGGTAAGTCAGAGGTGGGACTGCCTGCAGCTAAGAGAGGTAGAGCACACAGAGCCACCATGCAACAGTGACACAAAGGGGACGTGGGAGGCGACTATGGCAGCAACAATAGGAAAGCCGTTAAAGTAGGGGTACTTGGGGCAAGCACCGCACAGTAAGCGAGGGGCTTTGGGAAAGGAAACAGCACAGGAAAGGCCGAGACTTGCAAAGACCGAGAGTTAGTCGGATTTGCAGCCAATGCTGGAGTAGGTTCAAGTCTTCACAGGCTCCAGGAATCCAGATTTTATCCTGTAGACAATAAGCAATGCCTAGAAAGGAGTGAGGTGTGAATTCAAGAAAATGGTTTCAGGACACTCAGAGGGTCAAGGCTGGAGGCAGGCAGTCCAGGGTCCAGGCCCAAGTATTCGGGAAGCTGAGCTGGGAGGAAAGGCCCACGTGTCAAGCCAGGGGCTCTGACAGTGGAATCAGACACAGCCCATGGTCTTGAGGGCTAGAGGAAGAACTCCAATGGCCAAGACGCTCGTTTTCTTAGGGACTGTCCAGACCAGATCTGAAGGCCTCTCCTTCAGACATACAGACGCAGGCCAGACAGCTGCTATCTCTAGCCCCTGCATAGAGGCTACCTTGGACAGAGCAGACCAGGGGACCCAGCATGGCTGCCCCCACAGGAAGAAAGCCGGACTTCAACCTCGGTGTGCCTTCCAGGCTCTGAAGTCCCCAATCATCCCAGCCAAACTTGAGTCTGCTGTGAGAGGGTGAAGCCCCCAGGAAGGGCTTCCCTGTGCCTCCTCAAAGCTCGGCACTGCACAAACAATCGTCAACATCA